TGGAGCTCCTCATTGCAGGTTTCGAGAGCTTTAGTCTCTGTCTGTAAGCAGGAACCAGATGTATCATGGAGTGATCTGAGAAGCCGAGGGCTGGCTTGGGAACAGCGCGAAAAGCTCCGCGCACGGTGGTGTAACAGTGATCCAGAGTGTTCTCCTCTCTGGTCGGGCATTTGATAAACTGTCTGTATTTGGGTAATTCCTGGCTCAAGTTTCCCTTATTAAAATCCCCCAGGATAATAATCAGAGAGTCCGGGTATAAGCGTTCCATACACAGTACTTGCTCTGCGAGTGCGCGCTGAGCCTCGCGCGCGTCCGCGCATGGCGGTATGTAAACAGAGGCAAGAATGAATGAAACAATTTCGCGCGGGGAGTAATATGGTTTACAATGAATGAAAAGATATTCCAGAGCAGGAGAGCAGTGCTTGGAGATCACTGTCACATCGTTACACCAGTTTGTATTGACGTAGAAACACAGCCCTCCGCCTCTGCTCTTCCCTGAGAGCGCACAATGGCGATCCGCGCGGAACAGCCCAAAGCCCTGCAGCTCCAGAGCGCAGTCCGGGATCCGCTCATTTAGCCAGGTCTCAGTGAAGCAGAGGACACAGGATGTGGCGAAGTCCTTGTTTCTTCTCATGAGCAGGCTGAGTTCGTCCATCTTATTGCCCAGTGAGCGTACGTTGGAGAGAAAAATGCCGGGGAGAGCCGTGCGCGCTCCTCTCCTCCTAAGACGCACGAGCAGGCCTCCGCGCTTTCCCCTTTTACGGGCCCACACTTAAAAAAAAATCCCATTTTTCAGGCAAAACTCCATGATTAAAAAGGGCAGTGAAAATAAGTGAGGAGACAAGAACGGTCACCAGAGTGCAGAGCATAGACACGGTCCTAACAGGGGCCTTCTGGACATAGACACCCTCCTCCATGGAACATCCAGGAAGAGGAAGAATCACTGGAAGACCAACCGTGTTTTCTCCAAGCAGAATTCGAAGCGTGAGCCCAACAACATAACCAATAAAAGCCCCGTAGCCGTTGGTGATTTTTAAGAAAAGAACCGCAACCAGATGTGGAAAGATAAGAGTGTAGGAAACGTCGGCTCCGAGGATCCAAAGAAGCAAAGTGCTGTTGGTGTAGAATGTTATGGAGGTGCCGAGAAGACCAACCACCACCACAGTCACCCGGATCACCCACTTCATCTCACGGTCAGAAGCCTGCAACCAAATTACAGAGTTTGAGTACTTGAAAAGTGTAAGGATACAATTGGGCAGACATTTCAAATCAAAATAATTAAGAAATAATCTGATGCCAGTAGCTAGATTTTTTATATTTTCAAGACCAAACACTAAAATAAACTTAAACAATCAATTGCTCCCTCCCTCCCCATTGATCTAGCTATTGAAGTCTGAATGCAGTGGTCCTGATTGGCTCTTGGTCCCTTGGTCGTTGTTACTGAACAAATTTAGCATATATGTGGCCACAGATTCCCGCTCAAATAACCTGCTTGAGATTAGAATACGACAGCTTAGTATTGTCCTATTTCCAAACAGAAATAAAAAATGTGTCCAAATTTATAGACAACTGTTCCAATTGAATCATATTTGCATTGCCATGATTTCTAAAGGTATTGTGGAAAGCGGTATCTGAACAAAATATGTTTGTTTATTCTGAAATAAAACCAGCGTTAAGAGTTTTGATTATTTACATACACTGTAGCTCAGGCATGTCCAAACAAAGGCCCGCTGGCCAATTGCGGTCAGTAGATTGTATTGACACCAGTATTGAGCAAGTGGTGAAAAGGTGGTACTGCACCCTAAAACTCCCCAGAAAGGGGACGGCGCTCTTGAGCAAGTGGTGAAAGGTGTTACTGCACGGTATTTTTCAAAGAGTTTTAATGAGTTAGATTCTGTTGACCCTGTGTGTGTGTGATAAAGTAAATGCTTCACAGTTGTCTAAAGTGATTTATGATCACGGTTTATTCTAAAACAGTTAGGAATAGCTAAGGTGCAGGGAGGACCTGTTAACGACACTTAGGTGTGTGTGTGTGTGATAGCCTTATCATGATGACGGTTGGGAGGGTGTACTAACAACAAATCAGAATGGGTGGGAGGTCTGTTTACACCGTCCTATCAGAAGTTTTTCAATGGTTCAAACGCGTTACCGCTGTCTAAGAGAAGGTTATACAATATGCCTAATACAGGTAAGTTATTAATATAACATTTTGCAGTATTCATATTAAATGTTTTAATTTAGTTTATCTCTAGGAAAGGGTCGTTTATTGACACATTATAACACCGATGAAGATTTAACCCCAACAGCAAAAGTTACGAGAGGTCTACAGCAAACGGATGAAATAGGGTAAGATCTCATTTTTTTCCTTAATGTCTTAATCAGATGTTTAATACTTTTATTTCATTTTATACAGCACAGGTAAATTAAACACCAAGTCAATGCCCCTGATGCATAAATTAAGACAAGTAAATCAACATAAAGCTCCGTAAGTCGGTACATATACTAACTTTATATAACAAGTTTATGAGAGGTATATTTTTTTTCTAGAGCAATTCTATCACGCCGCAACGGACACAAAATAACTAATCACGGGGATGATGATGATGATGATAAAAGGTGAGTTACATATTATAATTTTATAATGATAGAGGTTATAATTTTCTTCTCACTATTTTTAGCTCATCAGAGGGTGGCAAAGACACAGAGAATCACCCCTCAGTAAACCAGGATTTCAACATAATCGATTTTATAGCGACACTGGACATTGATGCCATTATACGCGATGAAGGTATACCAAACAACGATCAAGATGTATTAAACGCAGGATCACCATTCCCGGACCGTGAGGAATACTTTGAACCACTATCTGGACACACAGCAGCAGCTCCTGATGCAGCAAAAGGGCCTATAAAGAATGCTTTAACACCAAAGGTGAATACTTTACAAGAAAACACACATCTGTTAAACAACACTAGTGAAAAAACGTTTGTGAAAACAGAGCTCTCCAACATACGCGAGGAATTGAAGTCAAGCAAGGCACGTTGTGTTAGTGCAGAGATACATACAGACAGGTGTCTAGCAACTGTGAGCCAGCAAGTAAAATACACAGAGGCCCGTATACTTAACAACAGTGGCGGCTGGTCCATTATGGGCGGTGGGGCGCCGCCCTTCCTATCAATTTTTGCAAATAAAAATAATATAAAGTTTTTTTTTTTAGTTGAGCAAAATCATGATTTTCTTCTGTACAGGTGTTTTATACACTGAAGGGAGGGGGAGCGGAAGGGAAGGATTGTGTAATATTGTCTGCCATGCTTCATCGTGTGCCGCAGCAGCATCATAAATGTGTAGTTTTATGCTTGGGGCGGCGAGGACAGCGCCCTCGCGTTCTAACCAATAGCGCTCTAATAGTGTTTAAAAACGTCACTACATATAATTAATTCAACCAATCAGAGACGCGCAATGTTATTTCTCCGATGGGCGCTTGGCATCAGCGCCCATCGGAGATATTACATGGACTTTTTGGTGTGGTCAAGTGTCCGCGAGACCCGGTGGGCGGAGCCAGTCTTTCTTGACAAGTTGACAATGGCGGCGGCATACGAGACAGAGACCGTGCAATCTCTTCTTCAAAATCCATTTGAAAGAAGACCACTGGCTGAAAAGCTTAAAATAAAAGAAACGGGACCGGACCAGCCACAAATTAACATCAGACAGCAGGTGAAAGACAAGGAAGCGTCTTATACCAGAGGCTTTTCGCGAACATGGTACACTAGGAAGCCGTGGCTAACCGGCTGCGGAGTAGCTAACGCGCTGTTTTGCTTTCCTTGTTTGCTGTTTAAAACTGCCGCGACCGATCGAGCCTGGTGTGAAAACGGTGTTCGGGATATGAAACATATTTCGGAAAAAATCAAAAAACACGAACACACAAAGATGCATATGGACAACTGCCTGAAATTTGCGTTGCTGGGAAAGGCTAACATTGCTACTCAGCTGGATGATGGCCACCGGCTTTTTATAAGAAGGCACAATGAGGAAGTCGACAAGAATCGTTATATTCTGTCTAAACTGATTGACTGTGTAAACTTTTGTGGTGCTTTTGAATTGGCTTTGCGTGGCCACGATGAGACTGAAGCCTCTGACAACCCAGGCATTTTTAGGGGCCTTGTTAACTTCGCCTCGTCGTTGGACGCTGCTCTGAAGGAGCATTTGGAGGGAGCTACTGTGTTCAGAGGTACGTCCAAAACTATTCAGAATGAGCTGCTGGACTGTATGCTGGCTGTTGTTCAGGAGTACATTCAGGACGAGGAGACTGCGGCTGATTATATTGCTATTCAAGCCGATGAAACATCTGACTTGTCTGTCCAGTGCCAACTTGTACTTGTACTTCGCTACATCGACCGTAACAACGTAATTCAAGAGCGCTTTTTTGAGTTTATACCAATTGAAAACGCTAATGCTGAAAACATCGCTCAAGCACTTTTGGAAAGGATGAGTGTGTTGATCCAACCCAATGACAAGACCAAATTAATAGCTCTCAAGCTTATGACGGAGCGAGCGTTATGCGGGGTGCCACTGGAGGAGTTCAGCGTAAAGTGATGGATGTTTATGAAAACGCACACTACGTGCATTGTTACGCACATCAGCTCAATCTGGTAATGCAGCAAGCCACCTCAAAGATACCCAAGGTCTCCACATTTTTTTCGGAGCTAGGTGGATTTTGTGCATTTTTTTCAAGGTCCCCCAAACGAACCAGCGTGCTTGATGATGTGGTTGGCAGCAGACTTCCGAAAGCGTGTGCAACAAGGTGGAACTTTCACAGTCGCTCAGTGAACACTGTATATGAGCACAGGGATGACCTTCTTAAGTGTTTTAAGACCATTCAGGACTCTGGGAACTTTGATGCTGTGACTGTGAGAGAAGCAGGAGGGTTTGTGAGGATGCTGGAGGATGGTACATTTTGCTTTTTTCTCCAACTATTTCACAAAATCATGCCACACGTCGACATGCTCTTTCAGCAGCTTCAGAAACGAAACATTGACCCCATCTTCATCAAAGCTGCCATCTGTAATTTTGCCGACAGCATCATAAACATCAGGTAAATGTGAAAAATCATAGGAATAACATGAATGCAGAATAATGTAGTACAGTATTAAGCAATTGTTTTATGTTTAAACAAGGTCTTCCATAATCACTGTGCAAGAGGAGATTCCAGCTGCCAAGCGACAGAGGACACTGGGGCCCGCAGAAAGACATCGGATTGCTATTGAGGTACAGCTTTGTTCACTTTCACATGCCTCCTCTTGTGCTCTAGTCCAGTGGTTCTGAAGTTCTACAGTAGTGCTTCACAAACTGCTGCACGGTTACTGGTGCCACTCAGAGGTCCTCTGCTGTTCTATAGTTTTAGTTTTGTTTGAAGCAGTTACTAATGTTTTGCCATATCAAATTCACTTTATCTGTTAGGGACTTTATTTGCTGAGAAAGTACCACTACAGATAAAAACATAGCACATGTACAGAATGATGTACATTACACAAATTGTATTTTGGATTTCCTCTGCATCTCAATTCACTAATGATTTAGTTCTCTTGTAGATCATTGATTAGTTTTGGTTTAGACAACAGTATTTCATACCTGATTTTTGCATATCCACATTTACTACTATACTCAAATTATTGTGACATAATTTAATGAAGCTCTTTGTAAAGCAATTAATGTTATTTATTTTCTATGTTTTACAGGTGTGTGATACCATCTGGGCTCAAACAAAGGAACGCTTTGCGTTTACTGGGCACCTTGTGAGTTCAACACTGCTGCATGGAGAGCTGTTCTCACAACATTCTACAACCTTTCCAAGTGCTGCTTTGAATGCCACCGTGGAGGCCTATCCAATGCTGAACAAGGCTAGACTGAAGACAGAACTATCCTTGGTCTATGAAAACCCGGAGTTTGAAAAGTGTAGTGGTGCAGTGCCTCTGTATCAGTTTTTTATGGAGAACAACCTTCAGTGCACATTTTCAGAAACGGTTAAACTTCTAAAAATTCTTATTACTACTCCAATGACATCGGCAGAATCTGAAAGATGCTTCTCCACTCTAAAAAGAATCAAAACGTTCCTAAGGAACACAATGTCTCAAGAAAGACTGAATGCCCTTGCCATGCTTTCTATGGAGAAAAAGATTGTGAAAGAAATGCCCAACTTCAACAGCAAAGTTATTGATAGGTTTGCAACCCAGAAAGAAAGGAGAGCCAAATTTCTTTACAAGTGACATAATCATCTCAGCTGCTTCTCTCCATCAGGCACAAAGCATCTCCTCTACTCCTCCAATCACAGTAGCATCTCCTCTGCTCCTCCAATCACAGTAGCATCTCCTCTGCTCCTCCCATCACAGCAGCATCTCCTCTGCTCCTCCAATCACAGTAGCATCTCTTCTGCTCCTCCAATCACAGCAGCATCTCCCCTGCTCCTCCAGAGGCACAGCAGCATCTCCTCTGCTCCTCCAGAGACACAGCAGCATCTCCCCTGCTCCTCCAAGTACAGCAGCATCTACTCTGCTCCTCCAGAGACACAGCAGCATCTCCTCTGCTCCTCCAGAGACACAGCAGCATCTCCTCTGCTCCTCCAGAGACACAGCAGCATCTCCTCTGCTCCTCCAGAGACACAGCAGCATCTCCTCTGCTCCTCCAGAGACACAGCAGCATCTCCTCTGCTCCTCCAGAGACACAGCAGCATCTCCTCTGCTCCTCCAGAGACACAGCAGCATCTCCTCTGCTCCTCCAGAGACACAGCAGCATCTCCTCTGCTCCTCCAGAGGCACAGCAGCATCTCCTCTGCTCCTCCAGAGACACAGCAGCATCTCCCCTGCTCCTCCAAGTACAGCAGCATCTACTCTGCTCCTCCAGAGACACAGCAGCATCTCCTCTGCTCCTCCAGAGACACAGCAGCATCTCCTCTGCTCCTCCAGAGACACAGCAGCATCTCCTCTGCTCCTCCAGAGACACAGCAGCATCTCCTCTGCTCCTCCAAGTACAGCAGCATCTACTCTGCTCCTCCAGAGACACAGCAGCATCTCCCCTGCTCCTCCAAGACACAGCAGCATCTCCTCTGCTCCTCCAGAGACACAGCAGCATCTCCTCTGCTCCTCCAGAGCACAGCAGCATCTCCTCTGCTCCTCCAGAGACACAGCAGCATCTCCTCTGCTCCTCCAGACCAGACACAGCAGCATCTCCTCTGCTCCTCCAGAGACACAGCAGCATCTCCTCTGCTCCTCCAAGTACAGCAGCATCTACTCTGCTCCTCCAGAGACACAACAGCATCTTTGTATCGCATTTTTTGAGTTTCTCACGTTCCAATTAATGTACAGTCTTCTCCCTCTAGTGGTCACTCTATGTAATGGCAAATATTTAATTATTTGTTTATTGAATATTGACTCTTTGCACTCACTGTAATTCATGCAAATAACAGCAATTACAAATTCATCTTGTATGACTTGGTTTCCAATGGATCTCAAATTGGCACATCTTTCTGTCTTTGAAAGAACAGTATTTGAAATATACAAGAACATTCTAAATTCATATTACATTTGATACTATTTATTTATTACATTAACACCAAAGTAATGGCTCAAAAACAAACAGCAGCAATTGTTTAATTGCAAAAAAAATTAAAAACACATGGTACCTCAGCCCCCCCTACTTTTTCCATCACCAGCCGCCACTGCTTAACGAAATACATCAGTTAAAGAGACAAGTTCACCATCTTCAAACTGAGCACGTAAAATAGGGTCCTTGGTACAGGTTTTCTTTTACGCGAGATCAAATGATTTAAAGGCGTACATCTCTCAGATATACAATTGACACTTGTTACCATAAATAGTCATCTTAAAGACTGATTAAACAACCATATTACATACCTTAAACATGTACAACATTTTACCTAAACACAAACCAGTAATTAAACATTATGTACAACATTTTACCAAAACACAAACCATTAATTAAAATCCAGATTTTCTTATTATGTAACACTCTCATATTTATTGAGTATAGTAGTTTTGTTGTTTCTTAAAAACCATGATTTTTATTTTGACTCTTTAATGTCTTTGTTAAGTTGATTCCTTCCAGAGACCATTCTTCCCATGACTTTAGTTCTGAATCTAGTTTTTTATTAAAGATATCAGTTACAGATTGTATCGACTTTGTCTTTTTTTTTCCAAAGTTCTCGTAGATGTTTTCTGCTAATGTTTTGCAATTTACCTTATACAATGTAGGATAAATAGTATAATCCACTATAACATATAATTTTAACACCAAGCACTCAAAAACAGGATTTGATGAATCTCGATATATTTTCCTTCTGGTCTTTTTTTTAACTATAGGCTGTGTTAAACGTTGTCTCCAAATGTTGACAACATAGGTGAGGTCGGTATAATCATTCTAGTATCTAAGGTCAGTAATGCTGAGCGGTGTTTTCGTAGATGTTTTCTGCTAATGTGTTGCAATTACCTTATACAATGTATGATAAATAGTATAAGCCACTATAACATACAATTTTAACACCAAGCACTCAAAAACAGGATTTAATGAATCTCGATATATTTTCCTTCTGGTCTTTTTTAACTATAGGATGTGTTAAACGTTGTCTCCAAATGTTGCCAACATAGGTGAGGTCGGTATAATCATTGTATTATCTAAGGTTAGTAATGCTGAGTGGTTTGGAAAGTGTAAAACACCAAGTGATTTGGCTAATTTTCCTTATGTACAGTGTCTGTGAGATTTACAACTCAGATTCTCAACGATGATGACTCTTAAAAATGTTGTTTCTTTTTACCCTTTTGAATTTCCCCCGTCTAGTCTTATCGATACACTATTTAAGATTTTTTCTTTTTAGCATTGAATAGTATGTATTCGTTTTTTCTTTGTTTAGAACAAAGTCATTTGAACCAACCAGATTTTTATTATGACAAGTTCTTTGTTTATTACTTTTTGATAACTCTCCAACATTTTTTCCACAACAAAATAATGCTGTGGCACCAGCAAATAAGATTATTTGTAATATAGGTGTCATGTTTACAAGTTTAAAGACATAATTCAATCATTTATAAGTTTAAAAATGCAACACGTTCTTAAATGCTATGTAATAAGTTACATTTAAAAACAAAGATTCCCTTTTTCCATGGGAAATGAAGACAGGGTGAAATCCGAGGCACTCTGATAAAAGTCCTTTAACAGAGAAGGGACCAGCGTGTTTGGGCCCCGCAGCGCCTTCTTCAGCCCAGTGTGATAATAAGCTATAGTTGTTTGTTGTGCTAAAATATAAGGGGAAACAAAGTAAGACATCAGTTTCCTGGTCGAGCAGAGTAAGTGCTCTTGTTTGGTTTGTCTTTGTAACAATCTTTGTTTCATGTGTTGACCCTTGGCAAACTTTCGCTTTGTAAGTATTATTTAATCTCACAAGCACATTGTTAGGGGCCATAAAAGTGTTTTATTCTACAGCAAAGTGTTAAGTTTGGGCTATATCTGAGTAGCAAGCGCTGTACGCAATTCCGTGTGCACAACCGTTGATAGTTTTTCTAGTGTTGCAGTTACAGTGATTTTATATTTTGTATTTAGGAATGCAATGAACCATACGCAAGAGATTCTCTATGAAACAAGAAAAGTAAGCCTGTCTACAGAGTTTCTTTCCCGTTCGCTACAACTTCACATGGTCACGTATCGTGAGGACAGCACAATAGTTGATACTTTTGGAAAGTCATTCATAAAAAACAATATAGGTATTGAGTAATTTATTATTTTTACAATTTATCAGCACAAACTGTTTAAGATTTTCTAGATAACTAGAGATCCATGTATGAGCAAGCTTTTTGCAGGTCTAGTAAGATACTTACAACATATGTATCTGCATATTTTCTCTGTCAGTTCCATTATTCCCACAGCAGTTGAGTGTTTTTCCTAAAGCCATACTCATTTTGAATTAACACATTTACTTTTGTAAAAAGCTATCCACTCACATTGCAAATACTTTTTCAAGATTTTGGAAAACTGTGGTAACAAAGACACGGGTCTAGAATTTGAGAAGTTGTGTTTGTTTCTGTAAAGAGGTATAATTTTAGTTGTTTTCATTTTCAGGAAAAGGTTCCTGTTTTAGTGACAAGTTGCAAAGGTATGTAAAAGGTTCAATTACAGATGCATCATGTCTGAGCCAGAGTCGGTTGTTTACAAATGTATTCACAATTTTTCATACTTTGTCTTTTTTCCATATTGGAAAGAAAAATACTGTTCACAGGATCTACCTATGTATTTCACTGCTAGATGCTGGCTTTGGAAATTTTCTTTTTCTTTCGAGTCTCCTACACGAGTAAAGTATCTACAAAATTCATTTGATATATTTATTTATTTTATTGGATATTTCTGCCTTTGACAAAATAATTTGTGTACTCATGTTTGATTTAGTTGTTCCTCATGACATTATTTAAAATTCTCCAAGTAGCTCGTTCTCATTTAGTGTATCACTAATGAAAATAGAAGACAAAAGAACAAAAGGTACAACAAGCACCCACATACAAAAAATATATAAAAAAATAACTGATACAATAAAATAAGACCTCCACAGATATGAAGTGACACTTTCCCACAGTGCCACAGATATGAACACTATATTGAATAACATATCATGGAGATATAGGATCACAGTCATTTATAAATAGTCCTCAGCGTCATTTGTTACATTTAGATTTTCTACAATGTCTTTGTATGATCCCACATTTGTTTCAAATATTGCTAGCTTTCCTTTTCTAAAACATGTAACTCTTTCAAGGGGAAATACCATTTTTATTTTACCCAAAGCATCAGCTTGAACTTTTTTTCCACTAAATTGCAATTGTTCTCTTTGCTTGTAAAAGACACATATCTATCAGTACTTTTTTTTTTCATTCTTTGTAAACGCATGTTTTCCTAAATAAAAAGTGTATATCCTTAGATATAGTGGTCTCTACTGCTCCTTAAACCTCAGCACACCCCACACACAGTGGAACAATGTCCCTTTAGCACTTAGTACATACATCAGGTACATTTACTCCTTTTAACACCTAGTACATACATCAGGTACATTTAACACCTAGTTCATACATCAGTACATTTACTATTTTTACCACCTAGTGCATACATCAGTACATTTACTCTTTTTAACACCTGCATACATCAGGTACATTTATCACCTAGTACATACATCAGTACATTTACTATTTTTTACCACCTAGTACATACATCAGTACATTTACTCCTTTTAGCACCTAGTTCATACATCAGGTACATTGCCATTATAACTATTCCATTTTTCTGATGTCTCATTCGTTCTCATGAGCCACTTGGATTGTAGGAGACTGTTGCACTAATATGTGCTTTTGCTGATTCCCAATCCTCTTTTACAATATTTGTTTCTAAATCCTCATTCCAAGCCTTCAATCTTAAATCAGAATTGTCAGTTGAATTCAGATATTCTGCTCAAACTATTTTACTTTTTCTGAGGTTTAGTTAAACTATCTTGATTAGATCTGCTGAAGCCTCTAAGCTGAAGAAATTTTAAAATACTATGTCTTTTTAGTAAAGAAATTTAACGTACGCTTAATTTAGATACCTATGTATATAAAGTGATCCATTACTTTAAAAGTTATAGCTTGTGAATTGAATTTTTAGATTCTCATTAAGCAATAGAAGAGATGTTGATTTATTAATTGTATAACCCTATGTTTTACTAAAAGCACTAATCAAATCCATTTAAAAATTGTTCCTATATCCAAATCTTTCCAGTACATTAAAAAGTGTTTTAAGAAACATGCCAACCTGGTAGCTAATAACATTACTGTTAAAGCCTGGAAAGCTAAATAATTGGTGTGGAAATATGAGACCTATAAGTTTGTTAAACGCAGATCTAAAAAACTTCTTTAAGACTTCAACAAAACAGGAACCTTTTCCTGAAAATGAAAACAACTAAAATTATACCTCTTTACAGAAACAAACACAACTTCTCAAATTCTAGACCCGTGTCTTTGTTACCACAGTTTTCCAAAATCTTGAAAAAGTATTTGCAATGTGAGTGGATAGCTTTTTACAAAAGTAAATGTGTTAATTCAAAATGAGTATGGCTTTAGGAAAAACACTCAACTGCTGTGGGAATAATGGAACTGACAGAGAAAATATGCAGATACATATGTTGTAAGTATCTTACTAGACCTGCAAAAAGCTTGCTCATACATGGATCTCTAGTTATCTAGAAAATCTTAAACAGTTTGTGCTGATAAATTGTAAAAATAATAAATTACTCAATACCTATATTGTTTTTTATGAATGACTTTCCAAAAGTATCAACTATTGTGCTGTCCTCACGATACGTGACCATGTGAAGTTGTAGCGAACGGGAAAGAAACTCTGTAGACAGGCTTACTTTTCTTGTTTCATAGAGAATCTCTTGCGTATGGTTCATTGCATTCCTAAATACAAAATATAAAATCACCGTAACTGCAACACTAGAAAAACTATCAACGGTTGTGCACACGGAATTGCGTACAGCGCTTGCTACTCAGATATAGCCCAAACTTAACACTTTGCTGTAGAATAAAACACTTTTATGGCCCCTAACAATGTGCTTGTGAGATTAAATAATACTTACAAAGCGAAAGTTTGCCAAGGGTCAACACATGAAACAAAGATTGTTACAAAGACAAACCAAACAAGAGCACTTACTCTGCTCGACCAGGAAACTGATGTCTTACTTTGTTTCCCCTTATATTTTAGCACAACAAACAACTATAGCTTATTATCACACTGGGCTGAAGAAGGCGCTGCGGGGCCCAAACACGCTGGTCCCTTCTCTGTTAAAGGACTTTTATCAGAGTGCCTCGGATTTCACCCTGTCTTCATTTCCCATGGAAAAAGGGAATCTTTGTTTTTAAATGTAACTTATTACATAGCATTTAAGAACGTGTTGCATTTTTAAACTTATAAATGATTGAATTATGTCTTTAAACTTGTAAACATGACACCTATATTACAAATAATCTTATTTGCTGGTGCCACAGCATTATTTTGTTGTGGAAAAAATGTTGGAGAGTTATCAAAAAGTAATAAACAAAGAACTTGTCATAATAAAAATCTGGTTGGTTCAAATGACTTTGTTCTAAACAAAGAAAAAACGAATACATACTATTCAATGCTAAAAAGAAAAAATCTTAAATAGTGTATCGATAAGACTAGACGGGGGAAATTCAAAAGGGTAAAAAGAAACAACATTTTTAAGAGTCATCATCGTTGAGAATCTGAGTTGTAAATCTCACAGACACTGTACATAAGGAAAATTAGCCAAATCACTTGGTGTTTTACACTTTCCAAACCACTCAGCATTACTAACCTTAGATAATACAATGATTATACCGACCTCACCTATGTTGTCAACATTTGGAGACAACGTTTAACACATCCTATAGTTAAAAAAGACCAGAAGGAAAATATATCGAGATTCATTAAATCCTGTTTTTGAGTGCTTGGTGTTAAAATTGTATGTTATAGTGGCTTATACTATTTATCATACATTGTATAAGGTAATTGCAACACATTAGCAGAAAACATCTACGAAAACACCGCTCAGCATTACTGACCTTAGATACTAGAATGATTATACCGACCTCACCTATGTTGTCAACATTTGGAGACAACGTTTAACACAGCCTATAGTTAAAAAAAAGACCAGAAGGAAAATATATCGAGATTCATCAAATCCTGTTTTTGAGTGCTTGGTGTTAAAATTATATGTTATAGTGGATTATACTATTTATCCTACATTGTATAAGGTAAATTGCAAAACATTAGCAGAAAACATCTACGAGAACTTTGGAAAAAAAAAGACAAAGTCGATACAATCTGTAACTGATATCTTTAATAAAAAACTAGATTCAGAACTAAAGTCATGGGAAGAATGGTCTCTGGAAGGAATCAACTTAACAAAGACATTAAAGAGTCAAAATAAAAATCATGGTTTTTAAGAAACAACAAAACTACTATACTCAATAAATATGAGAGTGTTACATAATAAGAAAATCTGGATTTTAATTAATGGTTTGTGTTTTGGTAAAATGTTGTACATAATGTTTAATTACTGGTTTGTGTTTAGGTAAAATGTTGTACATAATGTTTAAGGTATGTAATATGGTTGTTTAATCAGTCTTTAAGATGACTATTTATGGTAACAAGTGTCAATTGTATATCTGAGAGATGTACGCCTTTAAATCATTTGATCTCGCGTAAAAGAAAACCTGTACCAAGGACCCTATTTTACGTGCTCAGTTTGAAGATGGTGAACTTGTCTCTTTAACTGATGTATTTCGTTAAGTATACGGGCCTCTGTGTATTTTACTTGCTGGCTCACAGTTGCTAGACACCTGTCTGTATGTATCTCTGCACTAACACAACGTGCCTTGCTTGACTTCAATTCCTCGCGTATGTTGGAGAGCTCTGTTTTCACAAACGTTTTTTCACTAGTGTTGTTTAACAGATGTGTGTTTTCTTGTAAAGTATTCACCTTTGGTGTTAAAGCATTCTTTATAGGCCCTTTTGCTGCATCAGGAGCTGCTGCTGTGTGTCCAGATAGTGGTTCAAAGTATTCCTCACGGTCCGGGAATGGTGATCCTGCGTTTAATACATCTTGATCGTTGTTTGGTATACCTTCATCGCGTATAATGGCATCAATGTCCAGTGTCGCTATAAAATCGATTATGTTGAAATCCTGGTTTACTGAGGGGTGATTCTCTGTGTCTTTGCCACCCTCTGATGAGCTAAAAATAGTGAGAAGAAAATTATAACCTCTATCATTATAAAATTATAATATGTAACTCACCTTTTATCATCATCATCATCATCATCATCCCCGTGATTAGTTATTTTGTGTCCGTTGCGGCGTGATAGAATTGCTCTAGAAAAAAAATATACCTCTCATAAACTTGTTATATAAAGTTAGTATATGTACCGACTTACGGAGCTTTATGTTGATTTACTTGTCTTAATTTATGCATCAGGGGCATTGACTTGGTGTTTTATTTACCTGTGCTGTATAAAATGAAATAAAAGTATTAAACATCTGATTAAGACATTAAGGAAAAAAATGAGATCTTACCCTATTTCATCCGTTTGCTGTAGACCTCTCGTAACTTTTGCTGTTGGGGTTAAATCTTCATCGGTGTTATAATGTGTCAATAAACGACCCTTTCCTAGAGATAAACTAAATTAAAACATTTAATATGAATACTGCAAAATGTTATATTAATAACTTACCTGTATTAGGCATATTGTATAACCTTCTCTTAGACAGCGGTAATGCGTTTGAACCATTGAAAAACTTCTGATAGGACGGTGTAAACAGACCTCCCACCCATTCTGATTTGTTGTTAGTACACCCTCCCAACCGTCATCATGATAAGGCTATCACACACACACACACCTAAGTGTCGTTAACAGGTCCTCCCTGCACCTTAGCTATTCCTAACTGTTTTAGAATAAACCGTGATCATAAATCACTTTAGACAACTGTGAAGCATTTACTTTATCACACACACACAGGGTCAACAGAATCTAACTCATTAAAACTCTTTGAAAAATACCGTGCAGTAACACCTTTCACCACTTGCTCAAGAGCGCCGTCCCCTTTCTGGGGAGTTTTAGGGTGCAGTACCACCTTTTCACCACTTGCTCAATACTGGTGTCAATACTATCTACTGCGGTCTTGTGTAATTTTATTTGGCTCTCTGCTTTGCTAACCCAAAGTAGTCTTTGAGATCCTTTGAGATACAGATGTTCACAGAAGTCATCCAGCCAACTTCGGCTCAGTCAATATATGCATGTATACCTCAATATAAAGTTTAGTCCCTCTAGAGTTCAGCTGTTGACTTTAATTGCATATACTGAGATTAATTTTTGATAATTGTGCTAATGTAGTTGGTGAAATGGTTATTTGTCATTCAGCCAACTTCAGCTCCATCATAACTGTCGAAACAGTTTTACAATCTGGGTAAGTCTAGCCCTTGGACAAGCCTGGTTTACTAATGTGACCTGCTTACTAAAACGTTTGGACTCCCCTGCTGTAGATCGTTGATATATCTTCATTATCGACAACTGTGGACCCGATACTGACCCCTGAGGGATACCACATGGAACATGCAGACAGGAAGATCATTGAGATTCACAAACTGATGCTTGTTTGTCAAAGAGGACTCAAAGAGGACCAAGGTTCCTTGATTCTATAACGCCCTAATTAATTTAATATAATGATGATTAGTAATAGTGTCAATTGGATTTTTGTAAGCATAATTATGGTCAGAGTTTGTCAATCTTATGTGCATCCAACATTCAGTTCGGTTTGCTTACTCAGTTGGTGTGAAAGGGGCGGCTAAAATGCAACAAGAGATTTTCTCTACACCTTTTTTTTAAATCTAACTGTCAATTTTCTGGGGTCGAATAATGTTTTTTCATTAGGTCCTAAATCTCCAGTGTGGAACTTACCCCTTCATGCAGAATGTTTTTGTAGATGTTTGAAGAGAAAACAGACGTTGCAGACAGCAGCCCAGAGTCTGTGGAGGACATGACGGCTGCAGCCACGGCCCCGATCCCAATGACGGAGATGTAGGGAGGGGTGAGATGCTGGAGGGTCAGGGGCAAAACCAAACTGTCCTCCCCGCGGATGTACGGAGGGGGGAAGCCGTACTCAGTCTGGTTCCAGTCTACAGGCAACAGGTCATTTGCTTTATTTGGTAAACGTTGATTTATTTGGTGCAAATAAAACACACTGCTAATCACCGCTTGTAGCAATAGCTTTAGGGGAGGGGTGTCAAACTTGTTCCAGTACTTAGTCCCACACTGTGGCTTGTTGGATAACCTGGATTTCAAGATTTTTTAAACATGTTTAGATAGTTGCACTGACGCGTCTAACTTTTTGTGTAGGTGTAGATATTAACGGCTTATTAAACAAGCGCGAGGTCTGTACCGAGAATTATCAGGCCGCGGTCTTTTTGTACCAAGGTCGATATTTCTCTGAACAGACCGAGCAAGCGAGGTTAATAAATGTTTTATTATATAACTATTTTTAATTTCTGCAAATATAAATCGGTTTCGACAAGCAAAAACACATGCAACCAAACTGTCAAATTGTGACATGGAGAACTTATCAGATGATTGAGGTCGCCCGCTGGTAAGTTCTCAATCTCTTCTGTGTCTTTACCAAAGCTTTTTAGATATTTGTGAAGTATGTTCATGTCCGACTTGGTTTTCCTAATTGTGTTTTTACCTTTCTGATCTGTAACGAAGTTGTCCATCTCTTCTTTACTGTTAGGAGTTGTGTTTTTGTTGTTATTTTCTGTTATTACTTCCTCTGGCTCTTCGAACTCGTCTGCATAAAAGAATTCACTGGAGAATGCTCTCAGTCGCTGCTCATTATTTCTTTTTTAGTGAGGAAATTTGATACGCGCTGCGGACCAATTGTCATGGTAACGGTCCGAGATGGGAAAATATCAGACCGCAAATCAGCCAATCAGAGCGCGCGTACGATCCAAGTCATATAATAATCTAAATTATTTACATTTCTAACTGTGTACCAAATGCCCTTTGTCGTTAGTTAGGCACAAATAAGTGGGACAGATCTCAACGAATGTGAGCAACAAACCTGTCAGGAGTAATGGGACAGAATTCCAGTCATCTATTGTGAGAAGCTTGTGTATGGGTAAAGTCAATAATCAAACATAAGTCACATTTCTGACAATATACATTGCATTGAAAAAATAAAATTGATTCAAGTTAATTTAACAAATGTGAAATGGGAGAACTTGTGTCTGAATAAATCCATGCATATGACAAACAATGGTATTCTCTTTTATACATTTAATACGTAAACTTCAACTGTGTAAATACTTGTACCTGTAGAAGCAGCAACTGCTCCAACTAACACTGGAGGGATTCCCAAAATGGCAATAACAACAGCTGCAGCAAAACATGTCATCTTGGCAGTGTGTGAAGAAGAAGACGACAGCGTCCTCTGGTGGAAGCTTTGAAAAGAGACACTTCCCAGACCCTACAAAAATATCTTTGTTGGAACATTGGAAAAAGTATAAAGCGAAGAAATGAGCAGAATAACTAACATTTGTTCCAATCATGAATCTTACAAAAGGGTGACAACAACATTCATTAAGTGCTTGCATTTAAATGTAAAAAAAAAAATCATACCAACATTAAAAAGTCGTCGATCCACTTGCACGCTGTGGCTGGCTCGAGGGTGCCCATCCAGGGGCTCTGGTACGTGTGGTTAAAGGCTGTCTGAGCAATATTCAGAGATTTGGGGTTTATCAAAAGGAAAGGGACGCACAGCCACTGAAACAAAAGAATGGATATGACATCACCTTCAACGCAACCAATGATCATTTTACAGAATCAGAACATCAGAAAACTGCAAAAGAGAAATGCACACACAACCATAAGTCTTTCTGTGTTAAAGTGAACGTGAGTTTCTTTTACCGATCGATAACATCAGCCAATAAGTATCGCGAGACATCAGGAACAGGCAGAGATTTGACCATTTTGATCATTTGACCTCAGTGCTGACCCTATCACTAACAGCCTTAAACAGCCCTAACCCTTGTGCATTGTACATGTCAAAATTTCAGTCACAAATGGAAGAAACTACAACAGCTCAACTGAAACAGACGCAAAACAGAAATAATACAATTAGCCTAGGAATAGACAACAACAAACAACACAACAAATAATGAACTGCATGATTGCAAACAGCTACTAAAATATCATATATGAAAAAATACTATGGATAATTCTAAATGTAGTTTTACACAGGAAAAACCCATTGCACCTGATTGGATGGGTCCACAACTGGAGCACATGGGAGCGCTTGCATTGAAAAGTGTTTGACATAAAAATTAACAATTTGGCACTTTTTTCTTTCCTTAATTCTGATGACCCTTGACTAGGTCCCTGGGCTTCAGTCCCTATAGCCCTTTGGAGAAGGTGGCTAATGGCATGAGCGGTCTTTGAAGAGTGACATGCTCAGAACCTCTTCACCAAACAGATCTACAATAATTCCCATTTGAGTAAAGTCAAAAACATGTAAAGTCATGCACAGTAGATGTGTATTATCAAGGACAGGAATAACACGGCTCTGTTTTGTGCACAGGCCTTTCTCTAATGCATTTCTCCGACTTTATGTTATGTTCTCGCCTCAAGAAATGTTTGACCAGCTTGTTTCAGCAGCTTTATGGTCTCTGGTGACGCATCAAATCTCACTGATTAATAAACCAAGCTGAAGCCTAGATTGTTAATCAATGCTTCCCAAATGAGCAAAAAAAAATCCAATCTTTCGATGAGCTCTCTCTTCCTCTATTGGTTTACTTCCAGCAAATCATGTTGGTGGTTGTGCATGTACAGGAGAGACTTTTCAAAACCAAATTGAAGTTACAGATATCAGCTTTAACTCACCAGACTGAGAAATACAAGGGAGAGTTGGATGACGTCTGTGTACGCCACGGAGTACAGGCCTCCAAGTAAAGTGTAAATAATGGCCACGGATGAAGAAATCCACACAGAGATGGAATGGGGAAGGTCCAGGATGACACTCATTGTTGCTCCTGTTCAGACACAAGTTTACAGTATATGATACAGTCAATTTAAATATCTCTGAATTATGCAATCGGCTGTGGTGTTCAGATTATTCGGCAGCGTACCAGGAGAGGAAAAATATTTGTCTGGTTTGGGTGGCACTTCAGAGACAATAATTTGCTTTCAAACCGCTAGAGCCTAAACCGAATCAAATGTATTCATAATTGTAAACTGTAAAAAATTGTAAAAATATAGGACTCCTCCTTCAGCCTGGCAGTATTCTCTACTGTACTTCTGCCGGCCACTATCGGGTTTATGTTCCCAACTTTCCAAAAAAAATTGTGTTATCATTTTGGGTCTCGACTATATGGCCAAATATATTTTTCTATATATTTATTTTCATTTTGTTTATTTTTGTATTTGCTTGTGTCTGTTTCATTTAATTTCTAATTTGTTTTATTTCACTTTTTTATGACACAAGAAGAGCATAGTGGGGAGAGAAAATGAAACATGAATTAAAATGTGTCTTGTTATGCTGTATTTATTATGGGAAAAAAGTGTGAACAAATGAAGATGACACAATTAAGTAAAAAAAAAAAAGAAAAAACAAATATGGCCAAAACATAATGTCTCAAATGTTTAATAGTTTAATCCATAATTGGCATGTTTTGGAAGATCCTTAATGCTAATCATACATGCACCTTTTCTCCACTCCTCATTGGTGGGTGTGTGTTTCCATGCATTGTATCATTATTAAGTATGTAAGTTATTTTTATTTTATTAAGTTTGTATTTTAACTGTATTAAAATGCACTTTTGTACTTGTACGTACGGCAACCTTGAGTGTCAAGAAAGATGTCTAAGAAATAAAATGTATTATTATCAATTTTATTATAATCATTATTACATATGCAGACTCAATAAACACGTAATAAACTGGAAAAAAGAATTGTGTGAGTGATGCCGAGTACAGTGGTAGACAGTGAGTAAGGATGTAGACAATTATAGCATTTTTATTTGGAACAGACATCTACCTAAACACCTTTTGTGTTAATCAAGGACATGTGTGTGTGTGTGTTACCTAAACCGAGCAGGGTGCAGGACACCCACAGCACATCGACCAGCAGAGCAGGCAGCACCAGGACGCCGCTCAGGATCCTGCCGTACTTCTGCTGGAAGGGGTCCATCATGGTTATGTACATTTGGTTCCTCATTGGCTTGGCAAAGAAAAGACCACCTCAAAAGACACATGGATCAATCAAAATCAAAACTTGTATTTATTTTTTATTTTTTTTAATCTATTGGTTGTTCACTTTGTTGCACTATTAGGAGGGTTAATAACTGTACAATATAATGCAGTTTGAAATATCTGGAAATTCTGCAAATCAAGTTCATCTTTTAAATTTTGAATAGTTAAACATGCCGTCAGTGATTTTACACTAATGTCCTGTATTCATGGTGCTTAAATGTTCTGAAGTGTTGGATGAGACTAAAAAAATCCCAAAATATCTTACCAAAAATGAATGATAGGGAGTACTGTATCGGCATCAGAGCCCATATGAGTCCCAATTTAGGATTGTACACTGCCTCGGCAACACCCAAAATGAATCCGCCTCCAACCCACGTCGCTGAAAGAAAAAATGAAAAATCCACATGAATATAGAATTCCTTGTTAAACTCAAAAGAAAACGGAACATACAGAAGTAAATTGACTTTTTTTTTTTGATACATTCTGTCCTGATGAACTAAGACAAGTATTGTGATTTGCTTTGAAATAAATTAACTCTTGTCATAAGGGGTGAATCAAACGCATACAGGTGGCCTTTACGCCTTTACAGGAAGTTATTTTGCTAATGTCCCACTGAGGGGAGACCCTGAAGAAGACCCAGGACACGTTGGAGGGAGTATCTTGGGTTTACAACTGGCCTGAGAATGCCTCGGAACTCCCCCATGAGCTGGAGGAAGTGTGTCTGGATAGGGAATTCTGAGCCTCTCGACTTAAACTGCTGAAATTTAGAGAATTCATCGTCATGGACTGCTCAGGTACAGCACAGTCAACAAGTTACATTTGATCCATCGGGTCGCTGCGAGTGCATGGCCTCTACTCTTGCCTTCGGGATGTGGAAGAGAAGTTGGATCAAAGAAACAAGAAGACACAATGGAAGAATAATATTAGCTTGAATTTTTTTTGGAGAGTAGAACGCAGACTCCTGTCCTCGGCCCCAGTGTGTTCTGGGAGATAAGTCCAGACAGTGTAAGGTCGACAGGAGGGGCAGGGGGAACTCAAGGAGAGGGCTGTATGTGTGCAGTAGTCTGTAAAGTCTGTTTGAATCTGAGCTCAAGGCCTTCAATGTTTTCAATTCAGTTCTTGGAGAGAGATGTACAAAGGTAGAGGAAGACGAGCCTCAGATCCTCCCATCATTACAAAGAGCGGCTTCAACACATTCTTCAACAGCCCATCCACTTTCAAGACAATTTCCTCAAACAGTTTTTGCAACTCTCCAGACTGATCCGCTTCGTCATCCAGTTTTTTGCAGATCTCCACAGGTTTGCAAAAAAAAGAAATCTTCGGTTCGTGTTTTTTCTGTCAATGTTATTCTGCACATGTGGCTGTCTCCAATCTCTTCTCAAGCTGGTTAACGTTTGATGTGCCGATAAAGAGGCCAAAACACGATTGCCCAGTGAGCTGCTGTACCTCCCTTGCCGTTAGAATCGACCAAAATATCACAATCAACGCATTGGGATCCCCTGGTCTAAGGTCAGGGGCTGCTCTAGGAACCAGGTGTATTTTCACCATGGTTCCCGAAACTTTCACATCAGATAGTACTTAAAAATGGTGACATGAAAACACTGCTGTCTCTTTTGTCTGAAATGTTTTGAGAATTTCAACATTTTAGCTTTGTGCTTTCTGATCAGAAGTCATTCAGTGCTTCACTGTTTACAATAATAGAATATTACTTGTATATTGTGCTAAAGCAGTGTTTTTCAACCAGTGTGCCATGGAAAATTAATGTGCCTTGAGATATTATATGGTGTGCCTTTGGAAATGGTCCAATATAATCTATTGGTCGAAAATAAAGTGAAAAGAAAATTATGTGAGAAGATTTTAAAAAAAACACATCTTGGTGCTTGTTTGAATTCTATATAATACATTTTGATGAGAATGACTTAAAAGGCTGTAGAGTCGAAGATTTTTTTCTTGCTCCTTCATCATGCTCAAGTTGGAGATTTTGTATTTGCTTTCTTATTATACTAAAGCAACACTGACATTTTTTGTCCCCAATATGGGAGAAAAAAAAAGGATCTTTTAATCTTAACATTGGTCCAAGTCGCCCAAACGTACGGACTCCACATAGTGCTTAAGACACATGTTCTATTGATTGGGATGAGCACTGATGTTGGCTTAGATTCACTTGTTTTTTAATCATGAGAAGTCATCTTAGGTTTAAGATTAAGAGATCCTTTATTTGTCCCACAGTGGGGAAATTTCAGTTTTGCATAATAAGTTTCAGGCATTACGAATGAGAAGCACACAGCATCAGATAAATGAACAATAACTATATAATAAAATAAAATCTCTAAGCATGAAAATAGGCAGTAAAAAGTATCTACCTTTAGCAAAATAAGGAAATCTAGCATAGTCATTTTAGCATAAAGAAGCAAGCCAAAAATCCCTGACGTAGCAAAATAAGTAGCAAGGATAAAACACTGTATATTCTTGTGCAAGTAAGAATATGCAGTATTTTATACTTGCTTGTTTCAATGTGAGTGTTTTCTGTACCATGCAGAGTGTATGGTATACTTGCCCATCATGGTGAAGATGCCCACCACCAGATTGATATTTCTGTCTCCAAGCAGCACCACCTCTGTCCTGTTTCCGCGGCCATTCCTCTCAGCTCTGCGGGACTTTTGAGCCGCCCAGACCCCTCTCCCGAGGATCAGGAGGTAGAAGACCACCACTGCAACTATACCTGGGATGTTCAACGCCATGCTGCTCTGTGCTACTATCAGCCACTAAGCAGTGCAGACTTAAGTAAATACAGATGTCACCAGATGATAGTGGTTGGTACTATTTTGAATCAGGAAAATAATGTACCCAAGACAAGCTCCAAAGATTTTGTGGTTCTTTAATTTCCGACTGCCTCTAGAGAAAGACAGCATTAATTCAGGTATTTTTGGCTTTTTCTTTTCTTTCTATTTAACAACGTTACTCAGTTCACATAAAATTTAAATAAACACTTCATTCTCAAAAATAAGACAAGACAAGACAACAGTAGTGGACTACAAAACAACTGGTGTAGGCTCACTATAATAAACAAAATAAATACATGTAAAATGTTCATTTATAGAATGGAAATGGAAATATCAGTTAACAATCTGCACTCACTTTCAGTCTGGTAGGAACACAGCTCAAACCAAATCCAGAACAACTGAGAATATAACAGTGGTCTTTCTCCCCTCTGCATAAAGCAAATAGTGAGTACATTTCATGAATAACCATTTAAAATAAACCTTAAACATGTAACTAACATAGTGATCTGTCAACTCACGCCAAAACGTTGACCAACGGCTTTATACACGCAGGTCTGACAGTGTTACGTATGTATGCCTTCTACCAACACCAGATCTACAGATATATAGAGCAGAAATCATCAGATATAATGCAGATGATATACAAAAAGATAATTTTATCATTAAATCCTTTTTTGTTATCTCTATTTACCGTTTTTGGTGCCACAACTTGCCCGCGCACCATCCAACGTCTCTCAAGGCGTTGCCAGGGTAACGTCTCACGTGCAGCACCTGACACCTCCCAACCACACGCGCTGTAACAGCACCCTCTACTGGCCAAACCGGGGACAGTATCTGCCGTTCGTCCTATTATTATTTGACCCGGCTACATTCTCCCCTGCCTGAAGTCAACGTCTCGGTGACTTTCTAACAATCAACCTTTGTTTCTGAGGTGTACAGAACCATACCAACTAACAACTGAGACAGTACATCTGGCGTGAAAGACACTGTGTTATTACAAGCACTCACAGGTAAGTTAAATGGATTCCTGTTCTGTCCAGCTGTTTTCCTAGTACTCCTTCGTGGAGAAGGCCTAGGCATGATCTTTTGGGCTAGATCTACCCTCTGTCGGGGAGCTGGTACTGGCCGTTCCTCCAGCTCGGAGCAAGGCAAAACATCCTTGGGAATGTTATTTATGTTACTCTCCAACAGTTGCTCACTTCCAGTTTGGTCTCTGCAGGTATCTGGCTTATTGAGTCTTTCTACCATCATGTATTCAGGGTCAATGTCACTGGTTTCAGTTTCGGAGTCTATATCAGTTTCGGGTTCATGAAAGACTTGAGGTATGCGAGTCTCTTGCCTTGGAGGTGGTACAGGGCCTACACAAAGACGGAGGTTGGACCTATGCACTCTCCTTACTGGACCTCCATTCACAGGAACAACTGTGTGTGTCGTGCCTTGTATATCAATTACTTTATATACTTTTGATGACCACGCATCCTGAATCTTATTTCTGCCAATTGGACGATGACGCAGATACACACATTGCCCAATTTCAACAGATGGACAGTAAACTTTTGCATTCTGGCGGGCCATTCTTTCTGCTGCTTTTCTTTTTGCAAACTCTCTTGCTCGGTCATGTGCATTCTGAAGTCGCTCTTTGTGGATTCTGAGCCAGTCAGTATGTTTACTTTCTTCCTTCTCCTCTTCCTGCCCGAGCAGTGCGTCAATTGGAAGATGGGGTTGAACTCCAAACAGCATATAATGGGGAGAGTAACGAGTTGACGAGTGTGGAGTCACATTGTAAGCATATACAAGTTCAGCTAGATGTTCAGGCCAGCGCTGTTTTCTTTCAGGGGGAAGTGTTCTCAAAAGTTCATGCAAGGTCCTATTGAACCTTTCACATTGGGGGTTTCCTTGAGGGTGTTGTGGTGTTGTCCGTGTCTTCTTCACACCATACAACCTGCACAATTCAGCAATCACGGCACTCTCAAATTGTCTGCCTTGGTCTGAGTGTAAGCGTTCAGGCACTCCATATTTCATGAACCATTCTTTCAGTATGACTTTTGCAGTTGTGTCTGCTTTTTGATTTCTTGTAGGGAATGCTTGACTGAACTTAGTGAATACATCCGTGAGTACAAGTACATTCTCAAATCCATCACTTGATCGTTCTAGTACAGTGTAATCCACAGCAACAACTTCGAGAGGTCATGTAGCAAGGAATGGAGTTTGTGGAGCATGAACCTTGGGTTGTGGCAACTTTGTTAAAATGCACCTCTGACAGTTTTTAATCCATTTCTCTACATCCTCATGCATACCATTCCCAAAGCATCTTTGCCTCAGGAGTCCAATTGTCCGTTCTATTCCTTGATGTCCCATTTGATTGTGTATGGATGTGAGAACTTTTTCCTTGAGACAGGTGGGCAACAAAAGCTGTTTATATTTTCCATGGTTTACATCTTCAACCTCGCGATATAAGAGTCCATCTTTTTCTCTGAGCCGGGGCCATTGTTTTAGAAGAGACCGTACAGGCATTGGTAGGCTTCTTCTCTCATACCAGGAGGGTTTTTGTTTCTTTGCCAAGAGCTGTTTCAAAATTTTAAGAGTTGGGTCTGAGAATTGGAATGCTTGGAGTTCAGTTTTGGTGTAACTGGGAAGAGTGGGGGTGTTACTTTGGACTGAAGCACAGTCATTGTCTGAGTCTAAAGCTCTTAACTGTTTCACTTTACAATGGTCTACCCCTGCAGCAGCTAATTCAAAACCTAACTCAGTGCCTTCCCTCAGGCTGTCACAAACAGCCTCACAACCGTCAAACTCTGCATCTGAGGATGGATCTGACGCTGCTACAGCTGGCTGTCGAGAAAGGGCATCTGCTGCAGAATTACAACGACCAGGCCGATACCTGACCTCAAAATCAAATACAGCTAACTGTGCCACCCACCTTTGTTGGATAGCCCCTAACTTTGCTGTGGACAAATAACAGAGGGGATTGTTGTCAGTAAAAACAGTGAACTTTGAACCCAAGAGATAACTACGAAACTTATCGGTTACTGCCCATTTTAACGCAAGAAGTTCTAACTTCATGCTACTATAATTTTTGTCATTCTTCTCTGCTCCTCTAAGCCTGCGACTGGCATAAGCTATGACTTTTTTCTTTCCATTCTGAACTTGATAAAGAACTGCGCCTAAACCAAGGTTACTTGCATCTGTCTCAAGAATGAATGGTAGCTGGAAGTCTGCATAACCTAAGATGGGTGCACAGGTTAACTTGTCTTTGAGCAGTTGAAATGACTCTGAACATGCTGGAGACCAGGCTGTCTGGAATAACTGTTTGGCCTTAAATGGGGTCTTCTCCTTAATACAGTTATTAACGACATCATGAAGAGGTCCTGCTACTTGTGAAAACCCTTCAATAAACCGCCTGTAATAACTACAGAAACCAAGAAAAGAGCGAAGTTCCTTTACAGAGTTAGGAGGGGGCCATGACTTTACAACGCTAACTTTCTCAGGATCAGTACCTACACCCTGAGCTGAAACCAGATGGCCTAAGAACTTAACATTTGACTGGAGAAATCTGCACTTTTCAACTTTCACTTTTAAACCTGTATTCTTCAGTCTCTGGAGAACAGTTTCCAGCCTTTCAAGGTGTTCTTCAAAAGTTTTTGAGAACACAAGCAGGTCGTCCAAGTACACAATAACAATCTGGAAGATGAGGTCGCTCATTGTTCCTTGCATTAAGCGCTGGAAAGTTGCAGGTGCATTACATAATCCAAATGGCATACGTAGATATTCATATAAGCCGAATGGAGTGGTGAAAGCAGTTTTGTGCCTGTCTTTTTCATGGACTGCAACTTGGTGGTAACCACTTGCAAGATCAATGCTTGAAAAGAACTCTGCACCACTCAATGCGTCCAGACTTTCATCAATACGGGGCAATGGAAACGCATCACGTCTGGTTTTCAAGTTTAGCTTTCTGTAGTCCACGCATAGTCTTAGACTACCATCAGATTTGCGGACCAAAACTATTGGGGACGCATAAGAACTTGAACTTTCTTTGATAACACCTTTTCTTAGCAGTTCTGAGATGTGGTCTCTCACCTCTTTATACTGATTTGGTGGGATCCTTCTGTAAGGCTGGTTAATGGGGACCTCGTCCAATACAGGTATCTCATGTTGGACGTTGTCTGTGTAGCCCAAATCTTCATCCTGCATTGCAAAAACATCTGCATACTTGAATAACAGTGCCTTCAATTCTGCCTGTTGCTCACTTGTACCACCTAAATGTAACTGCTCAAATAGGTCTTGCATGTCTTTGTCTGGTTTGTCTGTGCCTATTTTACTAACTGTTACTTCCTCATGTGACGCTGATACACGTTGAAATTGAACTTCAAAAGGGTCACCTGTCTCAATACACTTGCATGGCGATAAAAACCCTAGCCTAGATTTTCCTAGGAGCCACACATCATCAGGTGAGAAATTGATTACTTGGACTGGAAACACCGGACTATTAGCTGAGACAACAGTGGGCATAACAATAACACCACCAGGTAAGGAAAGATTGCCTGGCTCCAAGACTAGAGGGGATGTGTTGTCAGAGTCTCTCTTCGGGCCTCTTACATAAACTGTGGACACTGAAAGTGCAGGCAGATGGCATTTGTTTTTTGTTGTTATCCGAGCCATAGCTGCTTCTTCCACCAGTTCTGCCTCTTGTACTTTGTGAAAGGCCTCTCTCCATTCCGAATCCAGTTCTCCTCCAAGCACTGTCTCAAACTCTGTTAGTATCAACTCTCTGCACCGTTTTGCTATGTTCATTCCAATAATGCCTGGAGGAGATAGATCAGGCTCAGATGTTTCTGTTTTGTCCTCTTTTATGATCAGAAATCCACATTCAGGAATTGTTATTCCCATTACTTGGATATCTAACTCAACATACCCCAGGTATGGAAGTGGCAATTTGTTTGCAGCAGTGATTCTCAACCATTTGGATGTACAGATGATGTCTTCATCTTCCCCATCGAGACGGTTCCTGAAAAAGTTCTCACTCAACGTGCTAACATTGCTTCCTGAATCTATGACGCACTGGATGGGAACGCCACCTATCTCAATGTTTACCATGGGGCACTTCCCCACAGCATATCTTAAAAAGCGCTTCTTGGTTAACATTTTTGGGGAGCCCTCTGACTTTCCTCGCATTGCTTGGCTCATAGCAATCGAGGGATCTGGTTTCCCTGTACCGCAGATACATTTTGGCTTGAGTGTGTTTGAGCTTTGCGAGCCGGACACTGCCTAGCCATGTGTCCAACTCCCTCACATCTTAGACAGATTGGCTGGCCATCATCAGTATATTTGGGGGTTACTTTTGGCCTAGTGGTCATGTTCTGAACTGCTTTATTGGTCTTTAGCTCTCGTACCGCAGTGGTTAGCTCTCCAATAGCCTGACCTTGCTGGGCTATTATTTTTACTACTTCTTGCAGTGTTGAGGCCAAGTCATGTTCAACTTTGTGGTCAGACTTAACATTTAAAGGATATTCATTTAGAGTTTCTCCAACAAGGGGTCTGCTTCTTGCTATATTTGAAGCTCTGTTGTGATCCTCCAGGCTCCACATAAGGGCTTCTTCACGGACAGAGATCAGACTGGACTGTGGTCTCTCTCTGGTAAGTCTTCGAAGCTCACGACGGAGGGAAGAATCACGAACCCCTTCAATGAACTGGTCACGTATCGCAAGCTGTGGGTCATGCACGACATTAGGAGAGGTTAAAAGGGCAGAATTCAACAATTGAGAGAGGGCATGGGAATAATTCCGCAAATCTTCTCCGTCAGCTTGTCTGCGTGCATAGAATGCATGTAACAACTGTGGTGTTGTACGCTTCTCTCTAAATGCTTCACGCAAGTACAAAAACAAATCTTGGGTTTCAACATTTTGTCCATATGTACGAAGCTTAATCTCATCTAATGCAGAACCTTTTAAATGTGAAAAGATAAAGTCTACTTGATCTCTGTCCCTTAGACCTCTCAGACTTATAGCCCGCTCAACTTCTTCAATAAACTCATCTACGGAGTGGGCATCTTTCCCTGGATCACCATTAAATGGCACAATTTGCTTTTCTCTTGGTACATATACAATAGTAACCTTGCCTGCAAGCTGAATTCTCGCGGTATTTGTGAGTTCACAAACACTCGAGAATACATCTTGTACCGCTCCCGCTTACACTTTTCGAGTCGAACCACTGGGTGTGCGAGCCAATCACGCGCCAGTCTGGGGGTTTAGGGCGGGATATCCGGGTTTGACAAAAGCAAGAAGTGCCGGGCCGAAGCAAAACAAACATGGCTACGCAGGAGGACGGACGCAAAGTCAGTTTTAGCAGAATCTCCAATTTCTTTTTTGAAAGATGAACAGCGAGAGGCGCTTTGTACATTTCTGGACGGCAACCTTGGTAGGCGGGCACACAGCGTCACTTCGCCCAATCAGCTTCAAGTATTCTGCTGCTTACCCCTCCTTTCCCCGAAAGGATTCTCCGGGAGAAATCCCAGATTGATATCGCGGAGAACGCGTTAGAGTTCTACACAATCATCAACCTGGCTTTTGCCAGGTTAATACAATAGACCTTGTTTGTGAATCACCCAAAGAACCTATACTTGAAATCATTGCATCATGTTTTTGAGTCAGTTCATTTAACTTTCTTTGTAACTCTAATAATTGGTTACCACTCTCTACAAGAGGTTCAGCCGAATCACCTCTGACATTACTAGGGCCAGGAAGATGCATCTCAGGTCTGCTCTCTTCGTCCATCATCTTCTAGTCCTCACGTCCTTCGTAAGCGTTGCAGTGAATCACTTGCAGTAGTATACTCAGGGTGAATATCCTCTTCACCACTACTGTTGTCTTGTAATAATGTCAAAACATATAAATATATATCTTTAAAAGAGCCAATAATACCAGGAAATCCCACTTCTGACACCAAAAATGCTTGTCACCAGATGATAGTGGTTGGTACTATTTTGAATCAGGAAAATAATGTACCCAAGACAAGCTCCAAAGATTTTGTGGTTCTTTAATTTCCGACTGCCTCTAGAGAAAGACAGCATTAATTCAGGTATTTTTGGCTTTTTCTTTTCTTTCTATTTAACAACGTTACTCAGTTCACATAAAATTAAAATAAACACTTCATTCTCAAAAATAAGACAAGACAAGACAACAGTAGTGGACTACAAAACAACTGGTGTAGGCTCACTATAATAAACAAAATAAATACATGTAAAATGTTCATTTATAGAATGGAAATGGAAATATCAGTTAACAATCTGCACTCACTTTCAGTCTGGTAGGAACACAGCTCAAACCAAATCCAGAACAACTGAGAATATAACAGTGGTCTTTCTCCCCTCTGCATAAAGCAAATAGTGAGTACATTTCATGAATAACCATTTAAAATAAACCTTAAACATGTAACTAACATAGTGATCTGTCAACTCACGCCAAAACGTTGACCCAACGGCTTTATACACGCAGGTCTGACAGTGTTACGTATGTATGCCTTCTACCAACACCAGATCTACAGATATATAGAGCAGAAATCATCAGATATAATGCAGATGATATACAAAAAGATAATTTTATCATTAAATCCTTTTTTGTTATCTCTATTTACCGTTTTTGGTGCCACAACTTGCCCGCGCACCATCCAACGTCTCTCAAGGCGTTGCCAGGGTAACGTCTCACGTGCAGCACCTGACACCTCCCAACCACACGCGCTGTAACAGCACCCTCTACTGGCCAAACCGGGGACAGTATCTGCCGTTCGTCTTATTATTTGACCCGGCTACACAGATTATGGACTTTGTTCCTCACCATGAGCCAGACACAGAGAAAATAAGGTCAGTAAGAATTAAATACCTATAGACAAAAGGGAAAATCTCCAGCCAAAGAAGGACTTGGTGCAGAATTATTTGTAGTGTGCTACCCATTTCATTTTCATGTTTCAAAACTGTTTCAGATGTGTTATTTTTCCTATTTCAGGCTCAATACCCCAAACTTTTTTTCTTTTTTTTTTTACAAGGTTTACATACACAACAATTAATGTATATCACTAAACTATGTGTGTTATTATGAAATCCAAACTAGTAGTTCCTGCAGAGTTCTAGTAGCTTAGTTAGATTAGCTGACAACATTTGAGTGATTTTAATTTTACATCTCCATCTTGTTTGTCAGCATAAGAAAACCAAGAGACAGAGAGGCATCATGGGATTGCCCAGCCTACTGTTGGGAGGAAGCAGATGCCCCAAAAATAATGTTTCTGTCTGTAGTGTCGGGAAACACAGTGTGTGTGTACCCTGGGTGTGCTGATTTTAAGACAATAGTTGCATTATTTCTGGCCTTATAATGAGACTATTTACTTGGTTATTTTGTCTTAGTATGTGAAAAAATATCAGTGTTGATATAAAATCTGGTGAAACAAGTATGAAGATGTGACAGAGGCCAAAATTACAAGGATGCGAATTGTAGTGATAGTTGGGTTTTTGAAAGTTTAAAAGTAAAGTATCCCTGCTTGAAATAAAAAAGGCTCATACATTTATTTCAAAAGTTTAATTAAGAAAATGTTTGCAACTATACCCGCACAGAGAATAACCAACATGACAAATAGTACAAGTCCACGCCGAAATATGAGCTGTGATGTGGACAACACTTCACATCCTGCAGCGGGGCTGGATTCAGGCTGGTCTTGCAGACAGTTGTCTGGAGTTTCATAGACCGGTTCAGTAGAAGTGACCTCTTTGGAGTCTGAAAGTTCACCCAAAATGTTAATGTAGCTTATTCAACCAGTCATTGTTAAGGCTAATACATAAAAATAATGTTTTCCAGTTTGGACCAAATGACTAAAAATGTTGTTTCCATCTGATGCTGTGTAATCAGGGCACCATGCATTCATGGGACCTCAGAAACTCTAAATCATTTGCATAACTTCCCATAATAAGAGCATTCATGAGGACCAATTACCAAATGCAGCAGGGACAACAATAGAAAAGTAAGAAATAGAATGTGAATCTTTTTTCTCGATTATCAGAAAGATAAAAAACCTCCATTGTTGTGAAAGCAGAAACACAGTTCTAAGCAAATGTGTGGTTTCTTATGATACATGTTCTCCACATTCAATCTTGTTGATTGAATTTGAAACTTATCGGCGACAGTAGCTCAGTTGGTAGAGCATTGGCCTTTGGGCCTGAAGGTCGTGGGTTCAAGCCCACCATAAGACCTACTTCACGACTCCCACTGATGACTGCTGTCGTTGTGTCCTTGGGCAAGACACTTAACCCCACTTTGCCTGAAGCTCCCACTGAAAGATCTCAGCTCCTGTGGACTCACCACCTGCAGGAGGATCAGTGAGGGGCTGGTGCTCTGTGTACTGGGTGCAGCTCTGACTGCCACCCCCCCGACCCAGAAATGGATTAAGGGGAAGAAAATGGATGGACTTATCGGCTGATCTCTGTCTTTTCCATCAGTTTGATATAAAACGGGTCCCTCCTCAGCCAATTTGTATTCTCTCCACCAACAATGTGACACCTGTCACACTAGCACCAACGTTTTCTCTAAGGTTCTGAGATGAATTTTCAAGCAGTGTTGCAGTCATTCCCGAAAATTAAAAATGAACGAAACATGAAAATAGTACAATACGAGTCAATCAGATCATGGAATATTATGGTTAGCTTTGTGGTTCAAGTAAAGGATCAAGAGATCCCTCCCGCTGAGGGGAAATTGCAGGCATTGCAAGTTACAGAACAAAAATACATAAAATATGTGAATATTAACTATAGAACAACTCTATACTTAAAATATTTTCATCTTTAGCTTAGAGCAAAAAGCAAAGTATAAAACACTGTATACTCGAGTTGAGTGCAATAAATACATAAATCTGTAGATACATTTGTAATACTACCTTTATGTTCTTGCACTAGAGTACAGTAAGTAATTAGCTCTGAAGGTTCAAATGTTCACAGCGACGTTAGCAGCATGAGACTCTCTGGGCTAAAAACTAAAGTAAGTTCTGACATTATTGCAGGTTCAGGGTCAACCAGCTTTTTGTGGGATGACATTCTAGCTAACTCCATGATAGTAAACGGCTTGAATTGGGTCTGAATGCTCAGCAGTTGTCCCAGCTTTGCCAACAAAGTTTTTGGAGCAGATGTAGGTGTTCTTTTTGGCCAAGCATGAAATTCAGGGGGTCCATGATTTCATGAATGGGATGAAACGTACTCCTCTTATATTGTTCCTATCAGAACTGCTCCAATGCAGCAGTGGTTTAGAGCTACCATTATTCCATGTGTTGGGGGCTATTCAGCTTCAGTCTTTCTGAGTGTGCATGGTCACGTGCACAATCAGTCTTTTTATAGTACATTTGAGAAAAACTTGAGACAGCCCAATGGTGCATCCTCTGAGTGGTGGATGGTGGGTGTTTTCAGTGGCCATTTCTAAATACTGGAGGCTGGTTGCATAGCCGTCTTAGATGTGAGTGTACTTGGATACATGTCTTTAACTTACCTATAGAGTTGATTTGTGCTTCAGTGTTGACCAGGACTCCAGCTCTTTTCTGAGCCTAGAGGACAGTTTGTTGAGTCGCAAATGTACCTCATCATTTGCAGAAAGGTTGCAGTTATGTACTTACTTCTACAGCTGCTTGACGCCAATTTAGTTTGGATAAATAGGTTATGAAAACAACGGCTTGCGTAAAAACACTTATCAGAAGACCAACCCAAAGCCCTAGGGAAGTCCACACATTTAACTTGAAAGATATTCAGATAAAAAGTGATATTTCAATTACCTTTGATGCCCATCTTTGCAGGAAACATTAATGATACACCGATAGGGAGGCCGATAGCGTAATATCCTACTAGGTTAAACAGAGCACCAACAGACTGTTTTCCAGCTCCTCTGACCACACCTCCATTAATACCCTTTGAAAAAACACATCTTGTTTATGAAAAGATTTATTTTTAATGTTGAAATAGAAAACAATCTTACCGCAGTTGCATCACCGATATGTGTGAAAGAGTAAACAATCACCACCTCGCTCACTCGCTCTATAATTTCCCTAAAATAAACACATTTAGATTAAAGATGTGATGTGAATCAAAAGGTGGAGCCCTGAATGAAATAGAGGAAGAGGAAGAGTAAAATCAAAAATAGAAATAAATAAACAGAGCAAGTTTGACACAACTGCAGAGGAAGTAGACTCCGGAAGAAGCCGATTGGGATAAAGAGACCCTTCTTTCCCCCCTGAAAAAGGTGGAATTATCACTTCAGATCAACTTTATGGAATTCAAATTTGTGAAGCTGCTTTGTCTGCATCTCATTAATCAGTTGTGAAGTCAAAATAAAACAATATAGTCAGTCACTTTTGTTGTAGTGTAGTTTTGACTTTTAAGGCTTAACCAAAATGTAAGGCTACTCAACGTAACCCTGATTCAGAGTGAGATCTTTCACTATGAGAATTACCTTGGGCGTGACCATCCATGGAAGCTCCAATGGCACCCCGGCTGTCTTTTGAGAGACAGGTTGAAAGTACCGCCCACCTATCCAGTCAACCTCCTCTGCCTAAATATGGGCGAGTTCCCATAGTTGTCCCATGCGCTACTGAGCACATGCCAGTGATTTGAATAGGATGCCATCTTGGATCACCAGGGCTTGGAAGATCCCGTCTCTGCCCCTCATGATCCACTGCATGTGTTTCACAGACTGTGTTTGTATTGTTTTTATGACAAGGACCACAAAAGGAAGATAACATTGAGCTAAATCTGGTGCAAGCATCTTGTTAATACAACTATTGTTCATTCAATAATTATGCAAAAATAAAAATCACTTCCAGGTGGGCCTTTCTGTGCAGATTTTGCATGCTCTCTCCGTGTCTATGTAGGTTTCTTCCAGTTTCCCTGACCACAACAAACATGTACAATAGTTCAGACTGTGAGACAATGGATGGAAATTATCCCAATCTGATCTGTCAATAAACAACACTTGGGAGCCCAATAGTTGTGTGGACTTTCTCAATGCCCCACTATAGGAAGAAATACAGGATCATCTAAATATTTTCTAATCATAAAAAAAAATATTGTGGCAAAAATTGTATTTTGTCATGTATCAACATAGACTTTAAGATTTTGGTATTGTAAAAATACTTATATAAAAAATTAAAATAAAATAAAATTACTTTTAGAAAATTAAAATTAGGAAAACATCCGGTTTAGACCAAGCTCACTTAGGTGCGAAGGGTCTTACCTTTCTGTAGTGAAGACATATGCAACGTAATCTTTAATAGACATGAACAATGCAGCAACAACACAGGCCATACAAACTAAACACAAAAAAGAAAGAGTTTTGAATCATACACAGTGGATACCAAACATTTACATACACTGGAAAAAAACATGTTTTTGATTCACAATGAAGTAAAAAGAAAATAAAAAACACTGACCGAACCGTTTTAGGTCCTTTTTTTTTTAACCACAATAATTTATTTTTGCAAAATACCACAACTTCTGACTTTTTTGCAGTCAAAAGTTCACCTACTAAAAGATTATTTTTATGTCTTGATGGGCGTGTACTCTCATGTTGTGGGACAGTCTATCAATTTGACAATGGCTTCAAATATATATAAGTTATGTACCTTTCCACTAGTATGTGTGAAGAGCTTGTGGTCTTTTTGATGAGAGTACTTCTCCTTTGCAAAGATAATCCCTCCCTCCTGTGGCATAGCATCAAGTCTGCCATTGGCTGGCTAACTATTTTTAATAGTTCGACAGCCCTAGTAATTATATCACATAGCACAACACTAGCGGTGGGAACCTAAGGGTATCTCACGATACGATACAAAGCTCACAATAACGATATTATCACGATAACAATTTTATCACGATATGACGATTATCGATATATTGGTCAGAAATATACAATATGCCAATTTATGGCATAAATAAAAGAAAAAATACACTTTATTTCATGATAAATGGAATGGAGATGCGTAATGTAGCCATATATTAAGTATTGACACCAATTTGTTTTTTTATTAAAAATAATTACAATTATTACTTTTTTTTTCAAAATCGATATTGATACTTGGCAAATGCATATCGATAACCGAATCGGGGGAGAAAGTATCGCGATATATCGATATATCGTCACACCCCTATACAACACCTTATGTTTTGAGGGAGCGTGAAATTGGCACTCCGACCATAAGCACTTTCCAAAAGATAAAGGTATATTGTGCTTCTATAACACCTATAGATCAGATTTGAAATATGAAAACTGATCTAAAACAATGCAACATAAGAACAGCCAGACGCGATTGGCTCCTACAGACTAGTCGCACTGACCTCTCATCTGATGAAGACCATGGAGCGGCTCATCCTCACCCATCTCCCCTCCGTGGTCAACCCCACCCTGGACCCGCTGCAGTTCGCCTACAGGCCCAACATCGGAGTAGAGGACGCCGTCATCTACTTACTGTAGCGGACGCTCTCCCACCTGAACCCGGAAGCGCTGTGAGGGTCATGTTTTTTTGACTTCTCCAGTGCTTTCAACGCCATCAGGCCGGCACTGCTGCAGGGGAAGATGGAGGACGCGGGAGTGGACAGTAGCCTCACTGCATGGACCATTGACTACCTCTCTGACCGACCACAGTACGTGCGGCTGCGCAGCTGTGAGTCTGCAGTACTGGGGCCCCACAGGGCACTGTCCTCTCACCGTTTCTCTTCACCATCTACACCTCAGACTTCACACACGACACACACAGCTGTCACCTGCAGAAGTTCCCAGACGACTCTGCCATCGTGGGCTGTGTGTCTGAGGGGAACGAACTGGAATATCGGTCGGTTATCAAGGACTTTGTCGACTGGTGTGAGCGCAACCACTTGTAAGACCAAGGAGATGGTGATCGATTTCAGGAAAAAACCACTTTCCCACACGCTGCTGAACATCCAGCGGGAGGACATTGAGCTGGTGGACAGCTTCAAGTACCTGGGTGTTCACATTAACAATAAACTGGACTGGCCCTGCACAAGAAGGGCCAAAGTCGCCTCTTCCTTCTGAGGAGGCTGAGGTCCTTCGGAGTGAGCAGGCCTCTGCTCAGGACTTTTTATGACTCTGTGGTAGCTTCTGCTATACACTACGCTGCCGTGTGTTGGGCCCCGGGCAGCACAGAGCGGGACAGGAGCAGACTGAACAAGCTGGTCAGGAGCGCCAGCTCCACTCTGGGCTGCCCCCTGGACTCTGTGGAGGAGGTGAGGGACAGGGGGGTGCTAGCCAAAGCCACCTCCATCATGAACAATACCTCCCACCCACTGCACAGGACTGTAGACTAGCTGAGGAGCTCCTTCAGTGGAAGACTGAGGCACCCTCAGTGTAGGAAGGAGCGCTACCGCAGGGCCTTTATCCCCCACCGCTGTCAGACTGTACAATAAGTCACTTTAAGTCACTTGCACTAGGACTAAAAAACCTGAACTACCACTGTTTCTTTGATTGCCACTTTTATTGTGTGTGTATATATATATATATACTGCATTTAACATGTTTGCACATTTCTATCTTTTGCACAAACTGGAGTGATTCTATCCATGCCAGATGTGACATGTACATTTCTCCTGTGTGAGAGAAAGTCCATCTTATCATATCCTGCTCTTCCAGGAAGATAGGTCCTGATCAGGGAGATTGAGGACTGACCTGTGCTTCCAGAGATCCACCTCTACCTGGTGGATCTATTTGAAAACACCAACTTCTGCATTATCCATAAATGCAGAAATACAGTGCCTTGCGAAAGTATTCGGCCCCCTTGAACCTTTCAACATTTCGCCACATTTCAGTCTTCAAACATAAAGATATAAAAATTTTATTTTTTGTCATGAATCAACAACAAGTGGGACACAATCATGAAGTGGAATGAAATTTGTTGGATAATTTCAACTTTTTTAACAAATAAAAAACTGAAAAGTGGGGCGTGCAATATTATTCGGCTCCTTTACTTTCAGTGCAGCAAACTCACTCCAGAAGTTCAGTGAGGATCTTTGAATGATCCAATGTTGTCCTAAATGACTGATGATGATAAATAGAATGCACCTGTGTGTAATCAAGTCTCCGTATAAATGCCCCTGCTCTTTGATAGTCTCAGGGTTCTGTTTAAAGCGCAGAGAGAACCATGAAGACAAAGGAACACACCAGGCAGGTCCCAGATACTGTTGTGGAGAAGTTTAAAGCCGGATTTGGATACAAAAAGATTTCCCAAGCTTTAAACATCTCAAGGAGCACTGTGCAAGCAATTATATTGAAATGGAAGGAGTATCAGACCACTGCAAATCTACCAAGACCCGGCCGTCCCTCCAAACTTTCATCTCAAACAAGGAGAAGACTGATCAGAGATGCAGCCAAGAGGCCCATGATCACTCTGGACGAACTGCAGATAACCACAGCTGAGGTGGGGATGGTGTGTTCAGGGTGATGAGCTGTGTTGCTTTTAAGCCAAACATATCGTTTTGCATTGTGGCCAAAAAGTTTGATTTTGGTTTAATCTGACCAGAGCACCTTCTTCCACATGTTTGGTGTGTCTCCCAGGTGGCTTGTGGCAAACTTTAAACGAGACTTTTTATGGATATCGTTGAGAAATGGCCACTCTTCCATAAAGGCCAGATTTGTGCAGTGCACGACTGATTGTTGTCCTATGGACAGACTCTCCCACCTCAGCTGTAGTTATCTGTAGTTCATCCAGAGTGATCATGGGCCTCTTGGCTGCATCTCTGATCAGTCTTCTCCTTGTTTGAGATGAAAGTTTGGAGGGACGGCCGGGTCTTGGTAGATTTGCAGTGGTCTGATACTCCTTCCATTTCAATATAATTGCTTGCACAGTGCTCCTTGAGATGTTTAAAGCTTGGGAAATCTTTTTTTATCCAAATCCGGCTTCAAACTTCTCCACAACAGTATCTCGGACCTGCCTGGTGTGTTCCTTTGTCTTCATGGTTCTCTCTGCGCTTTAAACAGAACCCTGAGACTATCAAAGAGCAGGTGCATTTATACGGAGACTTGATTACACACAGGTGCATTCTATTTATCATCATCAGTCATTTAGGACAACATTGGATCATTCAAAGATCCTCACTGAACTTCTGGAGTGAGTTTGCTGCACTGAAAGTAAAGGGGCTGAATAATATTGCACGCCCCACTTTTCAGTTTTTTATTTGTTAAAAAAGTTTAAATTATCCAATACATTTCGTTCCACTTCACGATTGTGTCCCACTTGTTGTTGATGCATGACAAAAAAATAAAAATTTTATATCTTTATGTTTGAAGCCTGAAATGTGGCGAAATGTTGAAAGGTTCAAGGGGGCCGAATACTACTAGTGCAAGGCACTGTATGCCCCTGCTTATAATTCCATTGAAAATGTATGGGCAGTAAAGGCAAGTAATATAGTACAAATACTCATTATGGTGGCTTTAAGCAAATATATATTATCTTGGTAAAAAAACAAACGTAAACAGATTTCTTTTTTACTTCAAACTGTGAGAAAAAAACCCGTGTTTTAAACAAGGTATGCAAACTTCTGTTTTCCACTCTATGTAATTCAACTTACATCCAGAAACTATCGGAACTTTTGCAGACAGCTTCGCCTGCTCAACTTTTCCTGCTCCAAGTGCTTGCCCAACACGAACACTGGCTGCTGCTGACAGTCCAAGAGGGATCTTCATAAATCAAAACAGGAAGAGATTCACAACAAACTAAACACATATGTTGCATCTTAATCAGAAAGGAGCTAATAACATGTCAGCACAGGAAGTAAAATGCCTATTATCTTCCCGGGGTAATAAAAACTAGCTACTACTAAAACAAAAACTACAGGGATAGCCGAGGGTGCCAGGGCAAAAGTATAGTTTTCTTCGCGAACAGTTTATTTCCATAAAAATTAGAGACGTTTGTCTCTCATTTTTCATTAATACCTAATTAATTAATTAATTAGTCTCGTGTCTTACCATATAACCAACAACAGCGAGCTCATAGACCACACTCTGCGACCCAAGCTCCGTCTCACTGATGATCCCAGCGAGAAACCCTCCGATTTCAAACATCCACCACTCCAGGCACAGCATCAGCATGCTGGGTATGGCCAGCTTTATGAAGGGCCCCCACTCCTGCAGACATTCAAGTGACCAGCCTGTGGAAATACCAACACATTAAAAGGATCATGCAAAATCTGTTATTTTTAATGAAAATAATAAAGCTGTTTCTATTATAAATCTAGCGATCTATGCTGTGTTTTATTGGGTATTACAGAAGCTCCAGTTTTAGGATTTTTTGTTGAGTTCTGCAAATTAGTGGTCAACACTAATTTACACCAAGCGCCACACCTAACGTCAAGACTCCCTGAAGACCATAAGTGTTAAATGGGGGTAAGAAGTGATCACAAATGCATGAAACAAAGTGTTTTGTCTGCATGTAAAACAAAACCATTACATCCAAATTGCTTGGAATAAGGATTTGAATTCAATAGTTGTTGGATTTATAATTTGCAGCCTGTTTTCAATAGGAGTCCACTGAAAAAGGGTCAGATTTTCACAGGATGTCCAGTTTATAAACATAAACTGTGCCAAGCATTTTTTTTCTCAATAACTTGAGCAAAAAGATGAGAAACAGACCTTACATAATGTACAAGTCTCACCACGGCCTCGCGCCAAAATATATTAGTGACATGTTAGTCCCATACGAACCAGCCCGGACTCTGAGGAGCACAAGGACTGGACTAAACATGGGGAGGCTGCTTTTCAGATTCATGCAGCTAAAATCTGGAACAGTCTTCATGAAAGTGTGAGACAGGCCTGCTCTCTGACAATGTTTAAAACAAGGTTGAAAACAGTTCTGTTTAGCTGTGCATACAACTGAGGGATTTTATATTTTTATCTTTTTAATGTACTGTGGTTATTTATTATTTTAATGCTCTTAATTTTAATCTCATTTTTTGTTCAGCACTTTGAGTTGTCTTGTGTATGAATTGCGCTTTGCCTTTGTATTTAAAGCTTGAGATTATAAATAATAAATGACAATCTTTTGTTCGAAGTGAGTTTAGTAGAAAACAAAGTAACCAAAATATGGTCACCTTTTTTTGGAATTGAACAATGTGACCCTTTTCATGAATCATCTACTATCGTCTCTGATGTTTATTGCTTCAAATGTAAAGCGATTCATTTTAAAAAATACTAGCCATGACTTTATGTGCAACAAAGGCTTTAGATATTAGATATAATTGTATTAATTTCCATACAAACCTGCCCATGTCTTTTTGTGGAGACCTCTTGCATAGATATATATAAATAAAATAATTGCCAGCAAAAATTGAGAAATGGCGTTGGCTGCTGCTGATCCCCTGAAAGAAAAGTCATCACTAGAGTAGATATTGTATGTGCAACCTGTGAAAGTCCAAGGAGTTACTGTTCACACAATTAACTGCAGTACATCATGTAATTGCGGCTTATCATTTAAGATAAGATAAGATATACTGTATTGATCTCACACAAGAGAAATGTACATGTCACATCTGGCATAGATAGAAACACTCAAGATTGTGCAAAAAGAAAGAAATGTGCAACAGTTGCTCTTTAAATAACTGCAGGAAAGTTGACTATTCCATTAATAAACATTGTGTCTACTTCATCTTTGTCTTTATATAAATAATGTATAATGAAACAAGAAATGGGTACAACCAGTGGTGTAACTCTGTAATAAACAAAAGTAATTTGACACATTACATAATTTCTTTTTTTAAATAACTAATTATTATGATTATAGTTAAATTTAAAATTGCATTCATTATATATAAAAAATATTATTTGGATTGGACAGTGTGTATTAATGAACAACAAGAGCTGTAAATACACTAAAGCCATGGGCTAATTTTCATTTCAAAATACTCAGATATGTATCTGGCGTGAGAGTATCCCATAACTAACTAATAATAATAATAATAAGGTATGTTTTACCAGGCGTGGTAAAACATACCTGTAAAAAAAGATTTTCTGAAATTCAACGTCTACCAAATCAGTGTTTTTCAACCACTGCATCAGACTATGCAGGTTAAATGGGCCAAATGTGTGTCGGAACCATTTCAGATTTGTAATGGTGTGAGACAGGGAAGCCTGTTGTCCCCTGTGCTCTTTAATTTCTATATGTTTGACCTGTCCAGGCAGCTGAATATGTGCAAAACTGGCTGTATGGTTGGTGGTGCTTTAATTAATCACTTAATGTATGCGGACGATCTGGTGGTGTTTAGCCCGAGCTCAGCCGCTCTCCAGCAGTTGTTGAATGTTTGCTCTGAGTTTGGGGAACTTCAGGATGTGAAATACAACTCCACTAAGAGTGTAATCATGATCTGCCGGACCAAAGATGACAGATCACTGAGGTTTCCTGACTTTATGCTCTCAGGGAACATCTTGACTGTGTGTGATGCGGTCAAGTGCCTCGGTCACATCATAACTGACCGTTTGACCGATGACGAGGACATGTATCGTCAGTGCAGGATGTTATATGCAGGAGGATGTTATATCCTCCTGCTCTGTACAGGTGAAATTAGCTCTGTTTCGGGCTTACTGCTCACCTCTGTACACAGCCCATCTGTGGGTCAATTACAAAAAGTCCAGCTTTCAGAAACTTACAGTTGCTTACAACGATGCGTTAAGAATTGTATTAAACTTTACAAGCTGTCCTGAGAAATTTGATGTTTAAGTTGATATGTCGCCTGAATGATTCAAAAAATGCTGTCATTATTTTATTGTCCAGTGTTGTGTGCAGCGAGGTACGTTACACGTCGCTGCTTTGGAAACACTGGTATGACTGCCCCTTGAAAGTTTAGAGGTTTTTATTGTCTGTTTATTTTATTTTTTTTGTCTTGTGATCTGGACCTTGAGTCTGCAAATAAAGTTATCTATCTATCTATCAATTAAGTCTATCTTATCTTATAACTACATCAAGGAGAAGGCCCAAACAATGTCTCAGTGAATGTGCAGTGCTAGGAACACAAAAGATACTGTGCATGGCCTCTGGTAGAGGACTGGAGCATATGCATACAGTACAGACCAAAAGTTTGGACACACCTTCTCATTCAAAGAATTTTTTATTTTCCTAATTATGAAAATTATAGATTCACACTGAAGGCATCAAAACTATGAATTCACTCATGTGGAATTATGTACATACTGAAAAAAAAAAAAAATGAAACAACAAACCAACTTATATTCTAGATTCTTCAAAGTAGCACCTTTTGCTCTGATTACTGCTTCACACACTCTTGGTCTGAGTTCCCACAGACTTGTTGGCCCTTTCGCCTTCACTCTGTGGTCCAGCCCCTAAACCATCTGGATTGGGTTCAGGTCCAAAACCATCTGGACTGCATGGGTTCAGGTCCGGTGACTGGAGGCCAGGTCCTCTGGCCCAGCACCCAACCACTCTCCTTATTGGACAAATAGCCCACAGCCTGGGTGTGAATCTACAGTCAATAGTCATGACAAGAAAGGACACTCATTGAATGAGAAAGTGTGTCCAAAAACATACAGTATCACTGGTTTGAAAATGTGTCAAAAGGTTGTATTTTTCTAGTTACTATTTTCAATATGTTTGGCCATTGGCATTACATTTGAAAGAATTAGCTCAAGGGTGAACGTACTGTATATATATTATGTATATGACAAAAGTAAATCGCAAGAGAACAAAATTGAAGTGTACAAACTATAATGTATTTATTGCACATGCCATATCACAACGTATGTTTGGAAGGAAAATAGAAAATACACACTCACCCAATCCCAAGGTCAAGCGGGTATATGAGTATATAATTAATGACTGCATTTAGGATGTTGCCAATTAATCCAGTTATAACTTGAGGCCAGATGATAGACTGTAAAAAACCACATCACATTTGAAAAGAATTTTTCTTCTTTCTTCACCAGGTGCCTTACCTGGTTTTGAAGATATCTTGCTTGAAGCTGATACATAAAAGCTGCCTGTGAATTAATATAAAAATGTTTCCACAAAGAGTCACGGTAAATAAATAAAATAAAATAATAGTAATAAAAGTACAGTACCGGTAATGAAGGCATGAAGATGTTGACATAAAGTTGAGATTGACTGTTGATCAAAAAATATAATGTAATGTAAGACACGGGTTCCCAGCCTGGGTACCCCAGTGTAGACGAGGCACAGCAACAATGCTCTGTTGTCAGGGGTAACATACTGTTTCCCGTACCCAGGGGTCAGATTAATTTTGCTCTGATTATTTACAGTAGGTCCCATTTCGTTTTGTCGTCTTCATTCACGCTTTTCATGAATCACGCAGCTGCGTGAAACATATTACATCCTATCGCCACTAGGTGGCAAGTTAAGTCCGCTTTAGCTCTGCCAGCGACTTAAACGCTCAGGTATAAGACTGCGTGCAAACCTGTTTTGCCTAGTGACGCACACATGTGGCGCAGAACTAAAAAAGGTCTTGTTATGACTCTCAAATCATTAATGACAAAATAAAGACTAAAACGAGGATTTATATCGGGATGCCTTTGAACAATTGAGACAGCTGATAAAAGTTCACGTGTGATGCAGAATTTTCTACTTTGAATTTGTTCTTCACAGTGTCTCTATTCGTGTGAATCGGTGTCTAGTGGTCTAAACTGTGCGCTTGCGAAGCAGGAACCCGGGTTCGATCCCGGGCTATGTCTTTTTGTATTTATTGCATGTTATCACATTCTATGACAGATTGCTCTAAAAACGGTAAAAGATGAAGGTCAAGACGTTTTTTTGCAGATTATAGCTTAATTGTAAAAATAATCATTTAAGACCACATGTACCCCAATTAAAATAATGTTAGTCTCTTTTTGATGTGGAACTTTTACATGTTTGTCTAAAAAATAGGGAATAAATAAAATTGAAAGGTGATATCCTCTTGAGCAAACCCTGATGTTGATACGCTGAAGAAATACGTTCCAACATCCATTCTTCCCACTCCTATTTTGGACATCAATTGCTTATTTATTTTGCATAAACTATGTATAATTACATTGCTTTTATTTATTTATTGACTGTGACTGCAGTACCACTTTTGGCCAGATTTTTACATATTGTTCCTTTAAGTCATCTTTTATTTGAGAACAATCACTGCATGAAAAGTGTGATTTTTGTCTCTTTTCTGCCCTGTATATTACTGTGAAACTTCTGGGATTCGGCTGTTGACGGTAGTTTGTTGTCCCCTCCTCCCTCCTCCACAGGAGGCTTTAACATGTAAATGGCAATGCTGTGAGCTATACAAATGCTAATCAGGGTTGAGGGGGTGCACAACTTGATCCATGCTGCACAACTCCTGCACAACATGGATCAGGTCACACTGTAGACCCGGATTTTGTAAATGCTCAAACTGTTTACACACACACACACACACATACACACACACACACACACACACACAGAGAAATATTTCATCATGATTGATTATAGCTTGTCATGTCAAAATCAATTAAATAAATCTAATAGGACAAAAGACATGTTGAAAGTGTAAGTGCTCAAAGGATATATGTATGTACAGTACAGACCAAAAGTGTGATTTTTCAGCCAATCACATACATATCCATTACCTACACAAAACATGTGTAGATATACCAAATTCAATTTCCATGGATATGTGAGATTTCATAACACTTTGAAGCAACTTTTGTTCAAGTTAAACTCATCATTCTATCAATGTGCAGAAGCCAGTACTTTTCCCTTGTTGTGTCTATCTGAAGGCCAAGCTACATGGCACTGTGGCAGCTGCTGATTGGAGGTCTCCATGCCTCCGCTCTGTATAATACACTTGCATTCTGTTGTTCGTGTTGTTCGTGCTGTCTCTACCATCGACAATAAAACATGTCTTCTGTCGGAATTAAAGACACGATCCCAGACATGTCATCATCTTCAGGTGGTGGAGGATGCGGGCCTTGTCTGTAACATCTAGTGAACAGAAGACTTATTTTTTTTACACAAAAATGTGTTGTTATTTTTAAGCCAAAACTGAGAAACCTCAAGAGAATGCATCTGGACCAGCACACATGGACGATCTGCACAGCCCCTGATTCCACTCAGGCTGTGAGCTGCTGAGACATGGACAATACCATCGTCCTCTTTTGCATGGACATCATTTGGAACAATTGGATTACACAATTTGGACATGATTTGGACTGATTTGGATTTCTGAATCTGGACACTGAAGCTGAAACGTGTGATTGAACGACACGTCACAGAAGAATCATGGCTCGACACAAATGCAGCCTGAAGAATCAAAACAAAGAAGTGGGAGAGACTGTTTTCAAAGCAATATCTGGAACCACCATCGACTGATGAAGTTTGGTATTTTACTGAAGATTGTTGACAAGTTTTATGAAAGATCTGAACATGTTTTATGAGTTTTCTGAGTTTTTGAAGTACCGAGTGAAGTACCAAGTTTATGAGTTTTTGAAGTATTGAGTTATGATGTTATGTACACGAGTGTACACTGTATTCTGAATACTTTTACTTTGATTAGCAATATATAGGCTGTGTATAATTACAAAAAATTAAACTACACATGTTACATATAGCTACCATTAATTAGGAATTCTAAAATGCACAGGAGTAGCAGATCATATGGCAAACATTTGCATTAACTTGCATATAAGGCATTTTAAGCGTCCCGCACATCCGCACGGTGTGGTGTAGCGGGATTGTCCAAGACTTTCGCTTGAACGATCGGGGTTCGAGCCCCGGCCAATCCTCAAATTTTATTAGCGGGGGGAGTATATGAATCAGATTACTCCGTTACTGAATAAAGTTGCATTTTTTTCCTGCAGTTTGGTTGGTGCAGATTGTGAAGTTTACAACAGTTTACTACAGTCTAGCAACTATTTTAAATGTGTTGGCCTAATTACTAAGTATTTTTTATTTAACACTGGAGAAAACGTGCTCGGTTTTTGCTCGCCTGAGTGATAGGCATAGGCGCCGATTTATCTTTTCCCGAGCGGGTGCTCTGTCAGCTGCATGGTCACGTGACACGCACATCACATCATTTCCCTAAACAGAATCGCAAGCTACTAGTTACGTTTAACATCGCATAGATGGGGATTTTCTTTATACATCAGGCTACACAGAATACACATACACTGATGCACAACTCACCATTGCTGTCATGTCATAGTAGGAGGAATGTGCCTTTTCTCGCCGATGTGCGCTTGATGAATTCATCGGCGATATCATCCAAACTCTGTTGCCGTGATGTGGTTTTATGGCAATTAAGTAATGTTACGTGGTTCAGCCTGGCGTGTCCCATTGTTGACCGTAGGTATGATTTTAGCCTCCGCAGACTTGAAAATGATCTCTCTGACGTGCATGAAGTTAGGGACAGTCAGTGCAAGTTTTACCAGTTTAGCTATCTCTGGTAACATGTCTCTTAAGTATTCGCCATCACGTCTTAGAAAGTTAACAACGTCGTCAAATGTATCAAGGCTCACTCCTTTTTGTTTGGCCAAATCCATACACATGTCACGATGCAACGTTAACCTCGTCTCATCCAAATCATCTCCGTGGAACTCAATGATGCTTTCACAGCTCTTCTTTCCAGTGAGAAAATCTTCCACTTTCTTCATGTAATCAAACACGGACGGACTAAATCGAGTGTCCAATGAGGTGACTGCTGTGTCAATAACATCATAGTACAGCTGTCTGTAGACGTCCTCGGGAGTTTTAAATGCGTGCTGCGGGGCACCTCCATCCTCCAGGCGGCAGGGACGTTTACGAGGCCTGGGCACAGACGGGCTCTCAAGATGAAGATCACTTGCCTCACCAACCACGCTTTGCCACAGTGTAGTAAATGATGCTTCTTGGCGAAAAGATTTCATGTCATCTCGGAGTGTGTCTATTATCTGCATTGCTTTCTGCATATGCAATTGCCTCTTTTGGAGTGCAACTGATACCGTTTCAATTCGAGAGAAGAATTTCAGCATCAAGTTTAATGAAAAGAATGTACCAAACTTCTGAAGGTTTAAAAGCAATCCGTTGGCTTTTCCTCCAGCGTCCCCTCGGTCATTTTGAGCCAAGTCTTCCAGAAAAAGTAAGAGCGCACTGTAGTTGTCTGCAATTGACCGCAGTGAGGCCGTAGTCATTGTCCAGCGCGTTGGGCACAGAGGCCTCAAAGCTGGGCTGTCTTTGGTCTGAATCTGCTGAAACCAAAAAAGCCGCTTTGGTGACTGCCTGATGAGTGTAACTAGATCCCTAATAAGTGACATGAAGTTGCGACAAGACAAGTTGTTCTCAGTCACATCGTGCGCCACAAGATTTAAGACATGAGCAGTGCAATGCGTATATTGAGCTCGAGGTTCAATGGTCTGCACGCGGGCCTGTAGACCATTTCTGATCCCAGAGACATTTGAGGCACCGTCATAACACTGGCCTCTACACTTGTTGAGAGGCAGGGAAAATCTTATAAGAGCGTCTTGGAGAAGCTGAAAAAGCGCTTCTGCTGTGGTGGAGGCTGTTTCATAAAATCCAACAAAAATCTCCTCTGGCTGCAGCTCATCAGTCACAAAGCGGAGGCAGATTGACACTTGTTCCTTAACAGTGATGTCCGCAGTCTCATCCAACATGACAGCAAAAAAATCAGCATCTTTTACTTCCTTGAGAAGTGTTCTCAGCACGCCATGAGATATTATTTCTATCATTTCATTCAGAATTTCATGCGACAGCCATTTGCTTTCTTTTTGAGCCAACCACGACCTCAGTTCTGGATTATCTTGTGCACGCAGGTTTAAAAGCTGCATAATATTGGAATCATCATCTGTTTTCCCCCTTATAGCCAGGCCTTGACACAGAAGATATTGGATAGATGATAAAACAGCAATCAAAGCTTTTCTAGCGTCCACCATCTGCTTTTGTTTGGCAGCAGAAAGTGCAGATGTAATATTAACTTTGGCCTTTACTGCTCCACCTACAGTGATAGCGGCTCGATGAAGAGTGGATTTTTCATGACATTTAAATCGTTCAATAGCCTTGCTCCAACTTGAAAAACCACATTGCACAAAACTTTTCATTGACTCTTTATCATGCGCTGCTTGTGGGAGAGGCGCATTCATTTC